ATGAAGATATTTGATATCATTTAAAATAACCAAAACAAACAACTACTAAATTAGTTGATGTTACATATTAACATCATTTTTACAAGTGATACATATTAACATCATTTATTATTTAACCCCATGTTAATTATTTGCATCATCACTTTAGTCATTTCTTTAGGTGATGTAAAATTACTTTGCATCAGTTAATAACTAATACAAATTAACAGATGTAAACCATGTTTTTTTTTTTTTTTTGGTATAGATGGATCATATAATAGTTTTAAATTGTTTCGATTACGTCGAGATCAAGAATTCTATATTCATGGATTCAAAGTTTGTCCCTTTTGTTTCAGTAGAGGCTCTTGTGTGAATTCTCAATGTTAATAATGAGAGATCTTGCTACTCCATGAAAATGCGTGATCAGAGAAAACGAGACGTTACACGAAAGGCTAAACCTTTAACATTGATGCTACTGTTATGACTTCTTACCAAGGATCTGAGATCATCTTGGAGATATATCTACATTGTCTCCTTGCTTTAGTTTGTACAGATTTTAGATTGTTCTTCTTTCGATGTAACTTCAGGGGTTGTTTCAAGCTTTGAAAAAATATTAATTTAGGGGTAAACACTTTTTTTTTTTCTGGTAGGATATGTCGATCAAATCTCGGGTCATCGTCAATAAAACTAATTTACTTCTGGCTCAGCCACAGCCACAGCCACTGTCTCTGGTGAGGTGGTGGGCGCTGAAAGTGGACAGCCCTCAAATAAATGCATTTGAGAGGTCTGTGTTTTGGTGGGTACCTTTCAGCAGCTCCAGTATAAAAAAAGGACGCCTGGATTTGATAATCACAGCATTCTCCGGTTAGGCTTCCGTATAAATTAAAGATCGTTCTTTTATACCTTTTTCTTTCAGTTAAATCTCAGTGCTTGGCCACCCTTGAACATGGACGGTGCCAGGGAGTCACGAATCGGCGGTGGTGGTGGTGGTGGTTCTGTTGGAGTACAGAACCGACAAACCCGAAGCGTGTATCTCAAGTTAGGTTACCATTACCTAGTCTCGAATCTCTTGACTTTGTGTTTACTCGCTCTCGCCGTCCTAATCTCCGTGGAAGCATCTCAGATGAATCGAGACGATCTCCGCCAACTCTGGATCCATGCCCAGTACCATGTGGTTAGTATAACCATCTGTTCGGCGGTTATAGTCTCCGGTTTAACCGTCTATGTCGTGACCCGACCCAGACCGGTTTACATGGTGGACTCCTCCTGCTACCTCCCACCTGATCACCTCAAAGCTCCTTCCACTATGTTCATGGATCACGTTAGACAAATCGGATATTTCGACGACGATGCTCTCGAGTTTCAACGCATGATCCTCGAACGCTCTGGTTTAGGAGAAGAGACGTATCTCCCTGAAGCTATGATTCATGTTCCATTCAGAATCTCAATGGCTGCTGCTAGAGAAGAAGCTGAACAAGTCATGTTCGGTGCTTTAGACAACCTTTTCGCAAACACTGACGTGGATCCCAAGGATGTTGGGATCCTCGTTGTGAACTGTAGTATCTTTTGCCCGACGCCTTCGTTATCCGCAATGATTGTGAACAAGTATAAGCTAAGAAGTAACATCAGGACATTCAACCTCGGTGGAATGGGTTGCAGCGCGTCAGTTATCGGGGTGGATCTTGCCAAAGACATGCTGTTGCTACATAGGAACACGTACGCAGTTGTTGTCTCGGCAGAGAACACTACTCTCAACGGGTATTTCGGTAACAACAAGTCCATGTTGGTGCCGAACTGCTTGTTTCGAGTCGGTGGCGCTGCGGTTATGCTGTCGAACAAGTCTAGGGACAAGAGACGGGCCAAGTACAGGCTCGTGCATGTCGTTAGGACTCACCGTGGAGCAGACGACAAAGCTTTCCGTTGCGCTTATCAGAAAGAGGATGATAATGGAAAAAAGGGGGTTTTCTTGTCGAAAGATCTAATGCCGATTGCTGGGGAAACTCTCAAAGCCAATTTCACTACGTTGGGTCCTCTTGTTCTTCCGGTAAGTGAACAGATTCTCTACTTTACGACTCTGCTTGTGAATAAGCTATTCAACGGTAAGGTTAAACCGTATATTCCGGATTCCAAACTTGCGTTCGAGCATTTCTGTATCCATGCTGGTGGAAGAGCTGTGATCGATGAGATAGAGAAGGGTTTTCAGCTTTCTCCGGTTGATGTGGAGCCTGCGAGGATGACTCTTCATAGGTTTGGGAACACATCTTCAAGCTCGACTTGGTATGAGTTAGCTTACATTGAGGCCAAAGGAAGGATGCGAAGAGGCGATCGCGTTTGGCAAATTGCGTTTGGGAGTGGATTTAAATGCAATAGCGCCGTTTGGGAAGCATTGAGGGATGTGAAGCCTTCCAAGAACAGTCCTTGGGAAGATTGTATTGACAAGTATCCGGTTACGGTACGTTATTAGAGACTCATCATCCATGCTTGTTGTTTTCTTTTGTTGTACGAGATCATCCATGCTTGTTGTTTTTTTTTTTTGTTGTTGTAAGAGATCGTCCATGCTTGTTGTTTTTTTTTTGTTATCCATTCTTGTTGTTTTTTTTGTTGTAAGAGATCATCCATGCTTGTTGTTTATTTTTTTGTTGTTGTAAGAATATCATCCATGCGTGTTGTTTTTTTGTTGTTGTTGTAAGAGATCATCCATGCTTGTTTCTGTTAAGAAAAAGAACGTTAGATTTGGTCAATGTACTTGTTATTTTAATTATGTTTGAGAGATGTACTTGTTATTTTAATTATGTTTGAGAGATGTACTTGTTATCTTAATTATGTTTGAGAGATTTGAGTTACATTTTTTGAGCTCATGCATGTATTCAGATCTTACTTGTGTAATGAAGAGAAAAGATAATGAAATGATAGATATTAATAAAGTTCCAGTATTTGGTTTAAAAAGAATAATTTCTTTTATTTTTAGTTCTGAATTTGCAAAATAATTTGTGAAAAGCGTGTTGAATTGTGTGCATATGTGGTTCCGTTACTTAGTGGATTTCCAATATATTAACAACAACGTTTACTTCATTGTAAATTTTTTTCATTAGTTGTCAAACAGGAACGTAGAACATGCCAATAATTACTATTTAAACAAAGCTTGAATCTCTTCAAGAGTTTTGCCTTTAGTCTCAGGAACCCAAAGACTCACAAAGCCCACAGTGAATCCACAAACCAAAGCGTATTGAGTAAATGTTCCTCCACTGCTCCAAGCTGAGAGCATATTTGCAGTCATTGTGACTAAGACGAACCAATTAGCCAAAGTATCACGTGGTATCAACTTTCAATATTCATTATTCATGTACAAAAACAGCTGCTGTCTTCTAATTTATTTGATTTGTTTATCTTAGTGTCAGCCATTAAAATACTCTCTTTATCTCTCTCTCGTGGCATTATTCTAATGCTCACATGGACATATTCCATAATTTATTTATTTAGTTAAGGTTTTAGATCTCTACCATTAAAGAACAAATATCGGTTCAGTGACTTCTGCAAATCCGTCCAAACCCATGTGGTAGGTTGTCTAAAGTCTATAGCTGAAGCTATTTTTTTCTAATACTCAACTTATGTTGTGTGTTATGTTTCTTCTGTGTTTCTGCTCTGAAGTCCTTCGTGGACTTCTGCTGTTTTTTTCCTAACTTTTGAATAATTTTTATGTATATCTCTACTAGGCAAAATATTTAGCCCATATACTTGGGCCTTTTTGTGTATGGATTTCTAGCATGCATGGGTTTCATCAATGCTTTCTTCATTTCTTGTGTTCTACTTGTTAATCAGTTGGTGATTTATGTCTGTTGACGATTCTTTCTGTCGAATGTTTCATTTCAAGTTTTGTTCCATACTTATAAAAAGGGTACTATCCTACTCTTTTGGGATACCATATAGTGCAGAAATGTTAACGCAGAACACATATATAGTTTTGTACTGTTATTTTACTGATGATTGTTTATTTTGACAACTATTTTACTGATGATTTAGGCTGATCGGACGAAAAATTGAAAATAAGAGTTGGAGAAAATATATCACATACAAAAATCAACCACTTATCAATGTTCCTCTCAATAATGTTTTGTATTCTATAGAATTCTCTCAGTACTCCTAAGTGTCTAACCTCATTAATTTCTTATGCAAATTCATTTTTATGCAAAGACAAAACAATGTTTTTTAATATATATATATATGAAGAATAAGATAAGTTGAAGCAATTTGAGAGTGGGTCTGGATCTAGTGGAGTAAACTGGTTCGACTTTGATATGCTGCCAAATATAGGCGCAAAGTGACCTTCAACCAATAGTATCAATGTTCACAAAAAAGTTCTGAAGATAAATTTTGTTTTCTTGCTTTTTCTCTCCCTCCCTTTTTACAGTATTTCGTAAATATACAACAAACCTAGAATTTGTCCTACTTATTCCCTTTCTCTTATTGTTTCACTACAGTAAATTCACTTGACTTCCTATTTATTATTGTTGTCATACCTCAATAAGTAACACCCGACAAGAAACTTAAATCATTAAGTTCTTGACATGTTAAAAGGAAACACATCGTCAATTTGCTTTCTTCATTAAATGTAAAGAAAACTTTGGTACTTCACCTAATTTCTAATTTTTATTACTCTGCCTCGTTTATTCATAAATTCTTCTTCAATAACACTTCTAAAAAAACAAACTCCCTATCAATCCATCATCAAATCAGTCGCATGTATAGAAACACACAAACACACACAAATTAAATAATACGAATTTCGCAATCTAAGTCCACCAAATCGAACCAATAAAAGAAAAACGAAAATCAACCCACGTTCACATGGGCCAGGGCCGCCAGGCCCAAGAGAAAGGGGTAAAATCGTCATTGCACCGATCAGAATAAAATGCCCGCGATTATTGTCCATACATCATCATATACTTCATAAATACTCCTGAAGAGATAGAGGGACGAGGCTGCGTGGAGCGAGAAAAAAAATCCGGATCCGATACCCGAACATGCCAAACGGGTGGATCAAGTTATTACAATGCAAATCAAAGGCTTACGAGGATGTCAGCAAACCTCTACTAGTGTCGAGCTACAGTTGTAGAAAGAGCTCACATTACGTTAAAGACGTGATCGATGCCCGAATAGGTAAGAAAAACCCGAAACCCGACCCGAATTTAAGGCGTTTGAAGTCTTGTCGAACCGAATCGGAGCTTAGCCCGCCTACCCGGACCCGACGGAGCAAATCTGCCCGAACATCAGACGCGCTGACCGAGCTTCCCGATGGTCATCCGTCGAGGAACGTAGTGGAGATTATATTCCAATCTAGCTGGAGCTCCGATGAATTTCCGGGTCGGATTGAGATGATTTTTAAAGTGGAAAACGAGTCGAGGACTGTGACCCGGTTCGAGGAGTACAGAGAAATAGTGAAGTCACGTGCGGGTGTAAACGGAGACAGAGTCGGCACGTGCGAAGAAGACGCACGGTGTTTGGCCGACGGTAACGAGATGATGAGGTTTTATCCACTCCCGGACGGGATCGACGGCGGCGCATGGGCTTTCTCCGGAGGGAAAGGTCAGGCTGTGTGTACGTTTTCGGGTAGCGGTGAAGCGCACGCGAGCGGAGGAAATGGCGGTGGGAGGAGGGCAATGCTGATTTGTCGGGTGATAGCGGGTCGGATCGCTAATAGAATTGGGTTTGGGTCGGACTCAGTAGCGGGTCGTGACGGCGAGTTGTATGTCTTTGATACACGAGCGGTGTTGCCCTGCTTCCTAATCATTTTTGTATTGTAAAGAACAAATATACATTTTTTTTTTTATCATTGTCTGATTCGAAGTATAGTTTTAATGGACTTTATATAATCAGAGTATAATAGATCGATGATGTATTGTGTTGCTATCGGCTATAAGTTGTTTCTTGTTTTCTAAATGTACTCAAGTAGTTTGTCGAGTTATATATTACTACAGTTTACAGATCGAAGGTCGATCATGTCTTGGATTGATCGGTCTAAGTATTTCGAAGTTAGATGTACTTAAGTAGTTTGTTGAGTTATTATGCATTATGCTGTGTAGCCAAAATCACCAAAATCATGATTTTACAATAAATCTTAAATAAGCTATTTTTACATGAATTACATATGTATTTGTAGCCAAATATGTATGATTAGATTTTTCTGAAGCAAAGAAAACAAAAAGCACTCATGGCTTAAGTTTCTATTTTCTTAATATAGTGCAATGTATTTTAGGTCTTAACATATGCGTCGGGCCATTTTTTCAACTCTTTTTGTTTTTGTGGGGGATGGATATATCATATACTGTATGTGTTTTAGTTTGACTTCAGAAAATGTGATTGGAGAAACATAATCATGGCAAACACAATTTGGTGGAAGACTATATATGATGATCTATAATTACGATATCAAATGGAGATCCTAATCATAGTTGACCTAACAAAATATTTTGTTTGTCTCTTATATAATTTTAATTACGTTTCTGAACAATGTACTGCATATATATCATATACAATAAATAGGAATGTCTAGTTTTTTTAATGCAAATGGGTTTGATTGGAATGTTTATGTTCAGAGAAACTTAGGTGTATATAAGAGAAGAGAGTACTATCGTAATAACAAAGTTCAATGGTTTACTTCATATATTATCGGCTATATACTTTTTTTCTTTTCGTTGTTTATAGTTGATGATAAAACTAAAAGTCTTGTCAAAAATTTGTGTTGATGTTTGGCTGTTTGCTAGTTCGAATACTATCTTGATAACTAAAAGGAACAACCCTTTTTCGTAGCTATAAGCTGATGTGTATATATATATATCTATCTGACTATCCACACAATCACATTGATCTTACTGCTATCTATGTTTAAAGTTACTTCCAAAAACGAGAATTATTTTGACTGATCTATCTCATTTTATAATTAACTAGTACTATAAATACTTTCTTAACAACAAAGAGCTTTGGATTATTTGTTCCAGCTAATCCGCCAGATTTTAAATTCATATGTTGTGAAATCCAATAATAAGTCTGCATAATCCGAATTTTCGGTGCACAACCAAAAATCAATTAACCGAAACATTAACCCAAATATCTCAGCTAAAATCATTATCGGTACTCCACAAGCATGCATAATGGCTTTCCCTTGAGTTTCTGCCTTCCCTGCAAAAAATTAATTTCCCACCTCAAAAATATTAAATGTCACACCAACATAAAAGATCTCAATTTATTACATTTTCGAATATAGTGTATTAAATTTCACGACAGCAAACCTTCAATTCGGGTAACTCGATCACACATGCACATTCCACAACTTCTGCTCCAACCCTCTCTGACACGGTCCCAAAAATACCAAAAGACTAATGAATTTCTCGAAACGGTTAGGTTTGATATTAAATAATTCAATTGGATATGATATTTCATATGGCTTGGGGAATTTACCGAGCAAGTTAATGGCGGCGCAGAGAGTACCACCGGTTGCAATGAGATCATCGACGACCAAAGCTCGGTCTCCGGTCTCGACAGCTCCTACGTGCATCTCTAGCCGGTCACTTCCGTACTCCAACTCGTATTCCTCAAATATTGTTTCGCCTAGTTACATTTTACACCATGTACCATAAACTATTTGTTAGACATTTAACATTGTTACCATTTATATAAAAAGTTATATGAAAAAAGTATAAAAGATTAAGAACCAGGCAGTTTCTTGGGTTTCCGAAGAGGAACGAACTTCGCTCCAATGGCTAACGCGATTGGTGGACCAAATAGGAACCCGCGAGCCTCTATTCCTGAAATGACAACAAACAACAAACGCAGTAAATTTCAAAACCGTAATGTCATAATAGCAAAGAAGGTATAATTTTGGAGCAATATAGTTTATTGTTCTTTTATATAAACACAATAATTTTCGTTGTTGTTAAGCTGTTACAACTGCCTTAATTATTAAGAACATTGGAGTAGGAGAAAAGCTAAAGAATGGCTCTTTGCCCCAACGACATACCCAATAGACAGATTCTAGGGCACTAACACAAAAGATACGGTCGAATGTTACAAGTAGTCGAGATGTGAATATCCCAACAACAAACCCAATGAAATTTTATATATTAAAATAGTTTAACACCAAAAAGAAAAGATGCAATCATTATATATATATCACTTTTTTGTTAATTATATGTTATGTGTCATTAACCATGTCCTATGCACAATTGCACATATACTCATCCGCTTATAGCTATATTAAGCGAGTTTGTATTGTTTTGATAATTTGTTCAATTTCGAAAACTGTATATGCAAAATTCTATTGATTTGAAAAAGTATACAAATTTAAAAGTAAAAAAAGAAATGATGTACTTCATCATACTTCATATTCTTACAGCAGTAAAAATAGAAAAAAGCTTTTGTACTTTTTTTTTTGAACAAGAGCTTTTGTACTTCTTTACACAGAAGAAGAGAGACAAAGAAAAAGAGGGAAGAAAAGAATTGGCCAAAACAATGATGATAGAAAAAGAAAGAAAAACCAAATCAAGTTTTTTGGGGCCAACTCTTTTAAAAAGGTTACATCCATCACTCAACTACCCATCTATCCAAACAATTCCCACCACACACACACACACAAACACTTTTCACATAAGTAAGATCAACAATTATAAGCTTTTAAAAGTGAGATGTAAAAGAATATAGGGGAAAAAAAACTTTTCTTTTATATGATTTAAAAGGAAGAATGATCCAGGCAATCAATCTTGTTCCATCACTCAATCACGCACAAATATTAGATTTTCAGAGATAAGAGAGAATCTTGTCTCAACCAAAAGTTTGATGGAATAAACGATATTAACGAAAATATTTGATTATTTGCAGTATATATACACAATTGTGTATGTACGTGAGTAAATAACTAAATATGCAAACGTCAAATACGAACGGTATCTATGTTGTCTTTTCATATGCATCTGTCTTTTCGTATACATATAATTCAGTAATAAATTCAATTAAAACAATATAGATCCCTTTTAAATATTCATATTTAAATTATAAACACAACCCTACTTGTAAATGCATAAACAAGAACAACAGTTTTAAAGTTAATATTTTTTTTGGTAAAATGTTAAATTTGATACCAAATATCAACCAATGGAACACTATGTAGAACAACAACCACTTCGAATAACCAAGTTGAGCTACCTAATTGAGATGTATTCTCCAAGACTTCAAGTACAATGTAAAGAAAGATCTTGAAATACAAAAATCCAAGTATTCTTAAAAATTCCACTTATTACCACGCACCAAAAATCAACTAATTACCGTTTAAAAAAATACACGAAAGTAGCCTAATTAAATGGCAAAAAAAAGAAAAGAAAATGAATTTCAATAATGCGTTTTTACTATACGTCACTTAAATCATGACCTACCTACCTTTTCCCCGGAAAATCATCAAAACAATAAAAAAATTCGGGTTCACTCATTTAAGTCGAATCTTCTAAATAGTAAATCCATCGAAATTACACTATATCCAATGTTTAAAAAAATAATAAAATTATGAACTGAAAAGAGAGGTAGAGGTAATATACCTGCAACCACCGAGATGTTCTTGTCTCTGTATCTCTCAACAAATAGATCAATTGTATCTTTGAAGGCTTTCGGATCCAGCAACACTGTTGTTATGTCTTGAAACATTATTCCTGCAATTTACTCCTTATTTTATTAAATTTACCCTTTATATTAATTTTTAGACATATAAACATATTTTTGTTTCTTTTTTAGGAAACATTTTTTTTTTCTTCATCGGAACACAAAACAGATTCGAGACCAAGAAGACTGTACGGAGAACTGTAAAAAATCCTCTAAATCAATATTATTGCTGGCAAGAAAAGATAATTAGAAAATTCACGACGAAGAAACCTGCATTCTTCTCGGAAAAATAACCAAGAAAACAAGTTCTTCTTAACATTTTTACCACAAAATAAAGAAAACTAGTTCTTTAGACAACCAACATTTTCTTATGAGCATGTAACGAATAACAGAGCACTTCTATAACAATAAAAGAAGGAAGAAAAATGTTACCTTTCTTGGGAAAATCTGGAACGACACGGATCTTGGTTTTGATTCCGTTGATACGAGGATCCTCTTCTTCTTTGTTTTCCGACATTGTAAACGAAGAACAAAAGATAAAAAAATTATTGATAAAAGAAAACCAAAACTCTGATTTGAAATTCTCTGTTCTCTTTAATGGTATCTCCTCTCTATCTCTCTCTTGTTGGAGGAGTTTGGGAGAGAGAAAGAGAAAGTGAAGCAGTCGTTAATACTCTTACACTATTTATATCTATTGAACTTTATAAAGATTCTCTGTGCTTAAAATGTGTTCAATTCTGTGTACAACTGTAAAGCCAATGAGATAAGAAAAACAAAAACAAGGCGTTACAAATTACAATTATTCAAAATATTATGGATTTTTGTAGTTTTTTTCTTAATTTAATAATCAAAACATAATTAATACTTCAACCATTTCTTAAAGGTGAATTTTCTAGACATTATTTGTTGTTTCACAAAGATAAATTTTCTACCTTTTTAATCCACTTTTTCAGTTTTCAAGATACATTAATTGTATTTGTTAGATTTTTATTGGTTTAAAATTATAGAAAGTTATTTTATTTCAAAAATCTATACACTAATAATTGAAAATCTGTTTTTTTTAATATGTGTGAAAATTCTAGAAATTTATCAATAAGTGTAAATAATACTCCCATTTTATTCTCCCATTTTTTTATTCCATTAAATCAATTATATAGATTCTATAGCTCATCCATAAAACTGAGTTTTGATTTAAACTGTAATCCTTATGATTTTTCGTGGGTGGGTTTCATAATCTTTGGATGATAATCTTGAGATCTCTCCAGCATAACCTTTTCTAAATCAAATCCTGAAATACAAAGTATTGATTATGAGTTTTAGGTTATCTTAATATTGGTTACTGATACTTCCTCCTAATTAGTAATTATCATACAAATTTCTTAAATTTTAGTTTAAACATTTTGTGACTAATAGTACGGGACATATCTATGTCTCATTAATAGAAATGATCGAAGCGTTTGAACTTTGAACGTGTCGTTCAAACATTCGACTGGCTCAGTTGTCTTTTTCTTTTTTCCTTTGTTAAGCTCCCAAACCCAACAATGCTGATGTTGATTAAAATAAATACAAAAAGCTTAAAAGACAAAGCTCTCCTCTCCTCGTTAAAAATGATCACATAGACACACATTGCAAGGGACAAGTGGTCTGTATCATTATCTTATCTTCTGGATTAGAAATTAAGAATAAACTTTAAACTCCTTTTTTATTATTTGTTTTTTGTTTTCCTTGCAATTATTAAATTAAATGTGTGGTTAGAGTCTCTCCGATTATATTTTATCTTTCAACCGAAATAGTTAGTTAACATAAAGGTTTATAAAAGGTTAACATACCCATGTAGAAAATAAATAACAGTGACTATAAGTTTAAAATTTCAAATTTAACTTCCTATATTGATTCAGAATTCATTGCATGTCAGGAGAGTACATAAAAGATGTAAAATATTTCTGAGTACCTTTTTACTTTTATCAAAATGTAACTAAAACAACATAAACAATTCTGACATAAATAGTATCATCACAACCGTTAATTACTATTTTGATTCGGATACGTATGGTAGTATTTTTTTTAAAAAAAAGATTCGTTAAACTATGAGCCTGGTTGCTTTAACTGTAGAATTCTTCTGTTGTAATTGTAGCTTCTACGCCCACCACCAATCATCCATTTTCAGACAGGGCTTATGACGTTTTCGTTTTCTTTTCACGAAACGGATCTGCTTGACATTTTCTTGTTAATCAATCCGTGTAACATGTTTTTTTACTAAAGATATTAATTTGACAAATGACAGAAAGAAAAGGGCGCCCAGGAAGACAGAAACATTATGAACTACTTATTCACTGTTGAAATGTAGAAGCTACATTCGAAAATCATATCTTCATGACTACATCCAAAGATTCATTTGCTTAAATGATTGTCTTATCAAAAATCAGATTTGATAGTCAAAGAGAAAATCTAAACAAATATCATCAACTAGTTAGAGCAAGATCCTATAGATTTGCCTAACTCTCGTATCTAAACACACTTTACTGCACAAAAGTCCAAGTGGGATTTTAGAGTGGCAAATCTATACTAGTTACAAGATTTTTATTGGGGGACAATTTTTTCTTGATAGATTAAAATACTCTGAATAATAAGCAACGAAAAAAACTAATTAAAATTGAAAGCGATGTTTCATTATTTATCTATTTTAGATTTTATTTTGTCTATTTTTATAATATTTATTCTGAGCTTTTAATTAGGCATGTCCATGGTCTAGAATAAAATAAATAAAAAAGCTCACCACCTTTTGAATTTTGATAGGCCACTCCTTCAATTCGAATTTTCCATCTTACCAGTTTACCCCTCCACCAGTCTTTTCGTTTCATATTCTGTCTATTTCCTCAATTATTGCACTAAATCTGGAGAAACATGCTCAAAATCTAACTTGGGACAAAGATGTCCAATAGCGTGATTCGTCTACATTTTAATGACATCTACTTAACCTAGAATCCCATATTATTTATACAGTATATTATACAGATTATATAACACATCAATACTGTCAACAGTTTTATGAGAAAAATTATATATTGTCATTTCTCTGCAGCAATCAACAATGTTGCAGCTGCAAAAGTAGGCGAATCTCTTTTTTATTCCGTGTTTTGGATGATGTCTAGATTTCATATGACCACTTTTGGTAAGCATATTGTGACTCTACTTTTACTTTTGTACAAAAATGGTATATTTGTTATTTCTATTATTAATCTAATAATCTATTTCTAATATACATAGTATAACGAAAGGATGCAGTTTTGAACTTTTCTGCTTGAATTGTTTTTTTTTAGGATATATCAAATTTTAATTTCGGATTTTGGCACCAAAAAGTGAATTATAGCAACTAAAATTTTGTTGTTTAATTTCGGCATGACAAAAATTAACTTACAGGCCACACCGTCAAACTTTTATTTGTTGAAAAAGAAATAATAGTATATGGTAAAATAACACTTTTATTTGCTGATATACGTCCGTCCATACATAATAACGATAAAACTGTTACGTACACTTAAAAGTTATTTCTCTAATTAATAACAAAATTTGTTTTTGGTGGAATGAAAAATATAAAAAATGCTAGTCTAGCAAAAAGAAACTCAAAAATAAAATAATATAGGAAATGAGGTTGAAAAAACAAAAGGTATCGATTAATTAAAAAAAGGACAAAAGAAAGTGGTAAACTATGATAGTAATAGATTGTGGAGTGTACTATAATCGGTCGAATCAATTGGACAATCTCATAAATTTGTGGACGAGTGTTAGTTGTGCGCCATTACCCATTAGTCTTCCCACTAACTTTTGTTTCCCTTTCCTTTTCACATCTTTAAACAAGTCTTTTTCCTTTAAATTTTGTCTTGCTATATTATTCTCTTCTGTTAAATTTCTGCCATATGATTTATCTATCCAATAAGTTAAATGAAGCAATCAGTTTATAACTAGTTACTGAAGAATATTGGCCGAATTCATACTAGGGTAGTGGCTAGACTTGAATAACTAATCCTTTGTATTTAAAATTAAGAATATACACGCTCAAATACTTGGATACTAGGAAAAACACAACTTTTTTTAAAAAGTTGAAAATGACATTACAACATTTTGTTTGCATTATGTGTAGAAAGGTTCAGTTAAAGAACTCTACCAATTACCAAAAGAAAAATACGACTGGAAACGCGAATGTAAACAAAGCCCAAATAGGTAAATGGGTTCACTATTCGAATAATGGCTCTAGCATATGTTTCTGAAAAAAACTAGCGTCAAGAATTTTTATCATATGATTAACAAGAATGGATTTTAACAGAGAAATGATGATTTGGGCCTCCAAATTTGTTTTTTGCGTTTGTATCTGCGGTTTTCTGTGTATATGCATCTACAATCTTTAGAATTTTAAACCATTTTTTTCTTCTGTTAATTTTAAACACAAACGATTTAAAGCTGATGAAGTCATGCGCAAGGCCTTTGATGAATCGAATCAATTCATTGTGTTACATGGCAGAACAAGAATGCTGGATAAACAAGATCCACAGTCCTAAACAGTTAAGATTGGATCCTCAAATGCAAAAAAGATCATACAGAGATCGTAGTGATCCACGAACCACATGATCAGAACAACATTTAGTAACTCTGTTTGTTACCAAAAGTAACAAAAAAAGGATTGTACAGATCCAAGAACCATAATTATCATACAAAGTCCGATCTATGGTTTGCATTCAAAGTCCAGTGGAGTTCTCTAGTTATGAATGGTATCACAAACAAGAAATGTTCATAGGCTAGCAAAAAGATCCAAGAACCATATCATTCACTATATATTTTGAACAACTATATATATATATATATATATATATATATATATATACCAATCCAAAAACCTCAGTGAGATTTCGGATCAAACATACAGAATATATAATTGAGATTGATGTAAAATCTTCTCAACATGAATAACTACAGTTCGTTGACAAAAAAAAAAAAAAAGAATAACTACAGTTACAAGAACATGCCAAGCCCAAAACTTTTAAACAACAATACCTGTTCATAGTGTTGTTAGTAATAATAGTAGCAAAATTCAAACTCTAGCTTTGATCTTCTTCAAAACTCCATCAATGGCGATATCAACAGCATCTTTCTTATTCATCAACCCCATCGAAGCTCCATGTCTTCTATACATAACTCTAGGCATCATCTCTATCACTCTCTCTCTCAACCTCGCGACTTCTTCCTTCGGTATACTCATCAACACGTCCGCGATTCTCACTCCCCTGAAAACCACGCCTTCCTTCGGAATCGTCACCGAGAATTCAGAGAACTCTTCCTCCGGTAAATGCCATTTGTACTGCATTTTCGCGGTTTGGTCTTCGAAGAACACCGGGATGCATCCGGCGATGATTCCGTCGAACGTCGCCTTCCGCGTCGGTGTGTCTCCCGGTGGTTGCAGGCAAAACGACGATTGCAGCATCGGCCTCATGAATCGGATCGGATCGTGCTCGCAGATCCCGTTTGAGCAATCGACGAAATCGCAGATTTTGCTCTTCCGCGTCTCCGATGAGAAATCGGAGGTGATTTCGGACTCGGTGTCGGTAACGTTCGTGTTCGTGCACTCTAACCGGATGCTACGACGGATGTTCGGCGTCGTAGAGGTTCCTCCGCCGCCGGCGAACAGCATCAGCGAGGTTCGCCGCGAGCGACGGACTCTCCGAATCCACGATTCCAAAAACGGCATGCTGTGTGGGTGAAACGACGTCGGGTAAGGAACCGCTTGCTCTTGCCACGGCCAAAATCGCGACTCGAGCGTTAACGCCGTTAGATTGAAGAACTCGGGCCGCTCGAGGAACGAGGTCCCCCAAATCGGAGGGTCAACGGTCAACGGCTGTGAGAAATCCCAAGCGGGTCGGGCCATGACGAGGAAATGATCGTGACCCGAGCGGCGAGACCAGATCTCGGGCGAGTCCCGGGTCAGAAACTCGAGAAGATCCGACCCGTGATCGGCGCTGGAGTTCACGTCGGATCCGTAGAGGTAACGGAGAGAATCGATGCCGGCGTAGTAAGGGAGATAAACGGCGGATGCGAGCTTCGGGTCGGGCGTGAGACATGGGTATTCGAGGATCCTACGGTGGAAAATGAGTTCGAGAAGAAGCGGGTCGGTTCGGTACCAGCTTCGGGAACGGGCATGGGTCTTTGGACCGAGACCGTGATTGGCTAAGAAAGGGCAGAGATCGTCGGTGAGTGGGTAGCGGTTGCAAGTAGAGAGAAGATCGAGATTGAATCGAGAAGGGAGTGTACGGATGTGGATCCACCGGCCGGAGCATTCCGAATCGGCGGTTGAGATTTGCTGTGAGATCCGAGGCTCGATGAAGAAGAAGAAGACGATGAAGATGGTCAATGTTGTGACGGTGGATTTGGAAGAAGCCATAGTTATGGAGGTTGTCGGAGTGAGAGTGGTGGTTTCCTTTTTCTCTCTGTCTTTGTTAATGGTAGGAACGGTTTTTAGTAATTGCAAAACAGGTCCCTATACTTTACATAGATGCTTTAAATTAAGCTTCTCTATAAGAAAAATAGGAAATCAACCCCGATAAAGACTGAAACCAAGGTTAATTCAGTCACAATTGAGTTTTTGGTTGCAAAACATAAATGTAAATTTGATATCTAGAGAAGAATCTAACGGTGGTTGTGCAATTTTGGAGTTGGGACACAATAAAGTCGGATAGTGTGAATGTATCTTGCGGTCACGGGGGAAGAAGATGGGGTTAATTTATGTGTTCAATGATTGAATTTCGATTTACTAAATTAAGAAAGCATAACAAATTGGGATTTATAACCGGTATGGTTCTGGTGATTTAACCAAATTTAATTTGATTACAAATCAAACCGATTCAGTTATATATCGCCTTCCCTCCAAAAACAGAGAGAGACGTCTTGAGAAATCTTCCAGTGTCGTCTTCTTCCTCTCAAGAAATGTGTTTCGTTAGATTCGAAGACTTCTACGGCGTGTGGTCAAGAACCGTAACCGAAATCTGCCTCCCTCGCCTCTCCTCCGCCGTTCCCGCCGACGAACTCTCCGGCAACATAGAAATCGTCCTCGCCTGCTTAGAATGGTACTACAAATCCCTGAATCACTACGCCAACAACGACTCCAAAACCATCCTTTACTTCCTCTTCCCTCCACATCGCAACACGCTCGAGATGCCGCTTCTCTTCCTCGGCGACATCCATCCTTACCTCCTCACCAGACTCCTTAAATCACTCATCACCCGAGCGAATCAAGATTCCGGTGGAGTCGACACGTCTGTGTCGCAAGATCCACACGCCCAGCTGCTAAAGAGAATCGTAGATATCGAGGGAGATATCTTGCATACGTTCTCTGATCTACAGGAACGGATGGGTAAAGAACAGATCAGCTTCTCAAGTCGGTTCTTGGACAAATGGGTCAACAATTCTCAGGAAGAGACGCAGAGGAAAACGGTTGTAAACACGGCAGCTTCAGTGGCCAAGGAAGAGATGTGCGACCTTGTGAAAATCCTCGTAGATGCGAATCATTTAAGAGAGCAAGTGATCACTGACATTGTTAAAGCTACTATGATCGATCATCAGAATCTAACGGCTCAGTTTCTTGACGGTGTTTGCAGAATCTTTGCTGCGTTTAAAGATCAGGTAATTTTTTAAGTCTCTTCTCTCGGAAAGATGATTAGGTTTAGGTTTAGGAATTTGAATTTTTCATACGTTTACAATTTTTTTTCTAGGGTCGAGAATTTCGTAACTCTCTATCTGCTTCTCCACTCATGGACCATCGCCGTGCATTTCAACCGGCTCAACAACCGTACCAAGCTTTTCCGGTCATGAACCAGCTGCCTACACGTGGAGTATACAACAGAGTCCCAAACGCGGAATACGTTATCTACGTTGGGAATTTGGGAACCGAAGTTACACCACAAGTGCTGGGAGAGACGTTCAGAGAGCGTTATGGATCGGTTAAGGTTGCAGAGGTTGCGTTTTCCCGCGACACAGGACTTAGCAATGGATATGGTTTTGTTAGCTTCTCAGATGAAATTGAGCAAATTCGTGCATTGACGGAGATGGATGGTCAACTTTGTTCCAACGCGCCTATGAGAGTCCGTCGTGCTCATGCAAATAGAATGCCAGGCAGTATCGAAAGGTTTAATACTTTCAAGTGAAATTGATACCAAAAGAGTGAGGTTCCAGTTTTCTTCTTATAAAGGATCTAGTTTTTTTCTTTAGCTTTAGTTGAGAGTGTCAAGAGTCTCTTTGTTTTCTTTGTAAAGGATTTGAAACTTTAATATTAAGATTCTACGAATTCGGATGCCATTGTATTCAGATTCTAAATTGTTCTCTCGAAATTCACAAACACTCACAAAATGATAGAAACTTTAACAAAGCATTTAAAAAAAAAAAAAATCATAACTGTTACCACTTACCATTAAAAAAGAAGAAGGGTGATTCCTTGGAGGGAATTACGAAATGTTTTTTTTTTTAATTTTAATACATCTTTTTTTTTTTTTTTTTTGATACATCTATCTATCTTTTTTTTTTGGAGGGTAATTTTAATACATCTATCTTTTTGGATAATTGGAAAAATAATAAACCGGTATGGTTCTTGCTAGATTCAAACAAACCGAATTGAATTAATGAGATTCGAGTTGGTTCCAAGTCAAACCGATTCAGTTATATATTACCTCTTCCCTCCAAAACAGAAAAACAGAGAGAAGACGTCTCCAGAAATCTTCCATTGTCGTCTTCTTCCTCTCCAAGAAATGTCACTGATCAAGTTCCATGATTTCTACGGCGTGTGGTCAAAAACCGTAACCGAAACCTGCCTCCCTCTCTTTTCCTCCGCCGATCCCGCCTCCGAACTCTCTACAAGGATAACATTCATCCTCTGCAGCTTACAATGGTACTACGAAACCCTAAATGCCTACGCCAAGGAAGATTCCAAAACCATTACCAACCTCCTCTTCCCTTCCTGGCGCGACTCGCTCGAGAAGCCGATTCTCTTCCTCGGCGACATCCATCCTTTTCTACTCACAAATATCCTCCGATCTCTCATCAATCGAGTGAATCAAGACGCCGGCAAAAATCCGGCTACGAGTGAAGATCCATACGTCGAGCTGTTGAAGAAAACAGAGGAATTAGAGGGTGAGATCGAGAGCAGCGTCTCTCATCTACTGGATCGGATGAGCAAAGCACAGATCCGTTACGCAGCTCGGTTCTCGGATAATTGGGTCTCGTCGTATGATTCTTCTCAGTGGAGAACGGTTATGGAGATGACGGCAGCTTCAATGGCCAAGGAAGAGATCATGAAGGAGCTCGTGGGCATCTTTGTTGATGCGAATCTCTTGAGGATGAAACTGATCAAGGACATTGTTGACGCTACAAGCGGTCAGATTCTGATGCTAGCTTCTCTGTTTCTTGAAAGTGTATGCAGAATCTTTTATGGGTTCAAAGATCAGGTAACTTCTTGTACAAGTAAACTTTGATTTTTCATTTTTTTTTATATCTCAAGAGCCTTTTAGTATTAGGGAATTGATCTTTTACATGTTTTTGTTTTACCAGTATCTCTAATGTTGGATTTGCGCAAATAAATAACAATTTGTAGGGTCAAGAATTTCACTACTCTCTATCTGCTTCTCCACTCATGAACCATCATCATGCATCTGAACCGGCTTTACCAACGTGCCAAACTTTTCCGGTCAAGAACCAGCAGCCTACAGTTGTACCGGTTCACTTTCATTCTCAGCCGGTTCCACCACCTTACCAAACTTTTCCGGTCATGAAACATACGCCTACAGCTGTACCGGCTCACTTTCATTCTCGGCCGGTTCCACCAACGTACCACACTTATCCGGTCATGAACCAGCACCCTACAGCTGTACCGGCTCACTTTCATTCTCGGCCGGTTCCACCACCTTACCAAACTAATCCGGTCATGAACCAACAGCCTATAGCTGTACCGGCTCACTTTCATTCTCGGCCGGTTCAACCACCTTACCAAACTTCTCCGGTCAAGAACCAGCAACATACAGCTGTACCGGCTCACTTTCATTCTCGGCTGGTTCCACGACCTCACCAAACTTATCCGGTCACGAACCAGCAGCCTAGACCTGCTGGGAACCAAGCTCCAGAGATAAACAACAATGCCCCAATCCCGGAATACACTATATACGTTGGGGATTTGAACTACCAAGTTAAAGCTTTTGAGCTAGGAGAGAAGTTCAGAGAGCGTTATCCATCGGTTAAGGCTGCAAAGGTTAAGTTTTCAAGGGACTCAAGACGTACCAGAGGATATGGCTTCGTTAGCTTCTCGGATGTAAATGAGCAACGTCGTGCTATGACGGAGATGAATGGTCAACTTTGTCACGACAAGCCTATGAGAATCGGTCCTGTAAAAAGAATCCCTAGGCCAAGAGCCTCTTTTTTTTTTTGTAAAGGATTAAGTTTTCTTATAGCTTTGAAACTGTAATGTGAATTCAAAGATTTTATGAACTGATGATTCAAAATTTAAATACCATTTTAGATAGATTCAATTTCTTCCTCATCTCCTGTAGATAATTGTTCTCTTCCAATTCACAAACACTCACAAAATGATAAAAATTAACAAAGCAATTTTGATCTAACGGTGATTGTTGATATCTAGAGACTAATCTAACGGTGCTTGTGCAATTTTGAACACAGTAAAGTCGATTTATGTTTTCAATAAATGAATTTCGATTCCTAAAATGAAGAAGAAAAAAATATTGGGTTTCTAAATTGGTATGGTTCTGAGTGGATTAAACCGAACCGAATTGAATTAATGAGATTCGATTTGGTTTAAAGTCAAACGGAGTCTGTTACATATTGCCTTTCCCTCCAAAAACAGAGCAACGAAATCTTGAGAAATCCTCTCCATTGTTCGTCTTCTTCCTCTCCAAGAAATGTCTCAATCTTCCTACTTCGATGGTTTCTACGTCAAGTGGTCAACCACCGTATCCAAAATCTGCCTCCCTCTCCTCTCCTCCGCCGTTACCGCCAACGCACTCTCCGGCAACGTAAACTCCGTCCTCAACATCTTAGAAATCTACTACGAAGCCCTAAATTCTAAGGCGAAAAACGATCCCAACACCATCCCTTACCTCCTCTTCCCTTCCTGGCGCAAGTCGTTCGAGACGCCGCTTCTCTTCCTCGGCGACATACATCCTTATCTCCTCACCAGACTCCTCCGATCTCTCATCACTCGAGCGAATCAAGATTCCGGTGAAAGTACCGACGAGCTGTTGAAGAAAATCGAAGAGATCGAGGACGAGACTGGGACTAATGTCTCCGATCTACTGGATAGGATGAGTAAAGCACAGATCCATTTCGCAGATCGATTCTCGGAGAATTGGGTCTCGTCGTATCATTCTCCGGAAAAGAAACAGAGTAAAACGTCTATGGAGATGGCAGCTTCAATGGCTGTTGATTACGCCGCCAAGGAAGAGACGATGGAGCTTGTGAAGATCTTCGTTGATGCGAATCGATTAAGGAAGAAATTGATCAGTGCCATTGTCAAAGCTACAAGCAAAAGTCATCATCTTGCTCTCGCGGCTCTGTTTCTTGAAGGTCTATGCAGATTCTATCTCAACTCTAGAGATCTGGATACAGCTAAACCGGTTCAGGCTCTTCCTAGTCCAGTTCTACTTCTACCACCTAACCAGACGGAACCGGTCATGATCCAGCAGCTAACAACTGAACCGGTACAGGCTCTTCTTAGTCCGGTTCCACCAGACGACAGGACTCTCCGGATGGAAGATGTACCGTACTACATGGACTCCGGTTTACTCAAATCCTGGTTCGCTCAGTCCGGAGGTGTTGTCTCCGCTAACGTCATCCGGTACTGTGACAACGAAACCGGTCAGATCAAACGGTTGGGTAAAATCGTGTTTGGAACTTGGGCCGCCGCGAACCGGGCTCTAAAGCTATACAACAACACTCCGATCCCGTACCTGTTTCCAATTCCGGTTCAGGTTTTTAGGCTCACGTGGTGTAACAAAAGATCGGAGTACGCTATATTCGTTGGGAATTTGAACGGAGATGTTACGGCTTATGCGCTGGGAGAGATGTTCAGAGTGCATTACCAATCGGTTAGGGCTGCAAAAATTGCGATTGACAACGAGACGGGACGAGGCAGAGGTTATGGTTTTGTTAGCTTTTCGGATAAGAATGAGCAGATTCGTGCACTGGGTGAAATGGACGGTCTTTGTTTTATCAACCGGTTTATGAAAATCGGTCCTGCATTTGGAATTTACGATCTTAGCCTTCAGTTTTCTTCTTTGGTTTGGGATAACTGATACCACACAATAGAGTGAGCTTTTTGTTTTTTTCTCTTGTACTTAAGGATTGATGATGATATTAAAAGAATGTTAGGAGTATTTGTATTTAGCTTATGTTGAGAGTGTCTTTGTTTTTCTTTGTAAAGGATTTAGTTTTCTCATAGCTTTTGAAACTATAAACTGGAATTCAAAGATTTTATGTTTTAGTTCATATACCATTTTTTGGAAATTTATTTTTCATCTCCTGCAATTAATTGTTCTCTCCCAATTCACAAACACTCACAAAATGATAACTAAGAACTTACAGAAGGAAGGGAAATGTGAGCTCAGGGTAATTCCCTGGTGAAATTTGTGAGAAAAGAATTATGAAAATGTTTTAACTTTTGATTTTGGTACAGCTTAATTGATGGATATAATATGGAAAAATGATAAATTAAAGATATAAAAGCAGAAACTGTTGAAAATAAAAAGACTACAAAAGGGAGAAAAAAATGTAGAAAGCAGTGTTGAATGAAACTTCTGATTCTTCTTCTACACAATCCATCAAAAACTTGTAGTAGAGTTAGTTTTCCATCTTCCCCCATTTCACCAAAGTCTTGAGAAACTTCTTCACCTGCAACAACACTAGTCTCATTAACAACCAAACTCACACATTTAATAACGTAACATATATGATGATAGAGACTGTATATAATTTGTACCTCGGAAGGGTCTCTAAGAGAGTAGAATGCATTGCTTTCTTTTGGCACAGACGATACCAATATCCCAAATCCTCTGTTGCTATCTCTCAGCACCTTGAATGCATCTTCATCAGTCTTGTCATCACCAATAAATATCGGCAAGAAATCATCATTGTTGCTTAATCCGAGAGACTCCAACAGAAACTCAACTGCTTTTCCTTTGTTCCACTCAATCACAGGACGAACCTCTAAAACCTGATTCCATATTAAACCAAAAGAAAAAGTGATTAACTTGTGTTATAAGGCAAAGTGGATCAAATGTGAAAACAGAGTAATATTTTACTCATACCTTTCTGCCGTGAGTTAGACGCAGACGAGGGTATTGCTTCAAGTGGTCATGAACACGTTGCGCAACAATTGGCCAGTCTTTCTCATCAACATTACGGTAATGCACAGAGGTACAGAACTTGTGGTTCTCTACTTTTGCACCTTTGATGCATTTAGTTAGCTCAACGAGGGTATTGTAAACCTCTTCGATGACTGGTATAAACTCTTTAGCAGGCTGAAATAGGTTTACCTCTTCACCCTATTCAAGAAAAACAAGAAATAAATGATTACTATAGTTTGATCATATTGTAAGTCATAAAAATTGAAATGAGGATGAGGTAATGATTTTTCACCTGTTGGTCAGTGGATTTTACAGAATTAGGATCTTCAGGGGAGCCATTTAGATGACCAGGAGTCATTATGTCCATACCATGACTACCAGCGTAATAGAGCTCTGTTAGTCCTACCAATTCATAGACCTGCAAGAACAAACTCAAACTGTATTAGTATTTAAACTTTGGTTGGATTGTGTGCATTATACAATTTGCTTTAAAAGTCTTACCTTGTCACGGCTTCTACCACTAATAATTGCTGTTGGGAAGTACTTGGCCACATCTTTCACAGCAGCACGCATCTGAGAGACATAGAGAGAGCAAACTTAGTCTTTTGTGTTTTAGAAACTGAGAGCATAATTAAGTGGTTTTGTTTCTTACAGCATCAGACATGATGGCACGGTCAGGGTCATCGACAATTGGAGAAAGTGTTCCATCATAATCAAGAAACACAGCTATCTTCTTGTCCTTTGCTTGAGCTGCGATATGTGCGAACGAGGTAATCGCTGAAGGATACTTGAGCTGTTCACATTCAAGAATGAAAATGGTGAGTACTGAGAAAACAAAACACTTGTGAATGTAAGTAACCATGAGATGTGTTGTTTACTTACCATCCATGCTCGTTGAGCAAAGTCATCTTCAGGAGCAATCTCAATGTTGAAATCCTTGACAAGCCTCTTACGCGGTGGGGAGGAAGATATCATTGCGTCCAACCAGCCGTTGGATCTCACATCGTCGAGCTTAGGGATCTTCTTTCTTGAATTCATCATGAATCTACCTGAAGGGAAAGATGATCCGAGTCTTGATTTGTTGACTGGTGCAGGGTCAGTAAGAACAGGAGACGTCTTGTTTATGTTCAAATCCATCGAACTCTCCAAAGAAAAGTTGCTTCCAAACAAGAAATTCGATGGCTCTTTCTAAATCACTTCACTCTTAAGTCTTTTATCCAACTCTTTTGTCTATGAAAAACCACCTCTTCAATGTATTCTTGTCACTGATTGTTGGTGAACGGTCCATTAAAGGTAGATATCCTGAAAACTGAAAGTGACCACAAACCCCTCAGAAAAAAAGTGGAGCCCTTTTTAAGTATAACACTAAGAATATTAAAAAGTATTCTTCTTGAACATTGATGGTGACTTTTCTCTTTACATTACCTTATCATCTCTAGTTCTTCAAAATGCACAGAAAAATACACTCAAAGACAGATCTTGATATTCAACCACAAAACCTGTATAATTAACAACCAAAAACAGAGTTAATTTTGCTACAAATTTTCTGAAAGTGTTCTACTTTGATAAACGTAACAAAACAACGCAAAAGATCCAATTTTTCTTTCTTTTTAGTGTTCTACTTTAATGTTATTCAAACGAGAAAAGCAGAGTATTACAAAGTCAACATGAAAGTTATGTTTTTTTTTCTTCCTCCTCTTGTTTGTTTTTACCTAAAAACTCTTAATTGTTGTTTAATGATATAAAAGAAAAAGAGCCACTGATTTTGACAAGTACCGAAGTATTCAACTGCCTTGTCTTAAAGAGGCTACCGACAAAACTTATAGCTTCATCACTCAGAGTCTCAATTTGTCCCAAATTATAAAAAAAAAAAAAACGCGTTTATTAATTGTTATACCAAATGAACAATTCAAAACATGTGAAATTTCACATTTGCCTCTAAATACATCAAATTAAGAATAAGTGTATTGAAGCGTATCTCAGACTAAATACATCAAATTAAGAATAAATTAGTTTGCAGAGAAACCAATGCTGTAAGGTTACGACAGAACAGAGCCGAATTGAAACAGAGAGTGAGCAATGTTTCGTAAAGACAACAAAAATCAAAATCAACAAAACCGAAAATTGATTTTTGAAGACGTCAAAAACAATAAACAGAGGAGATCTAGAAAAATCTCAACAATAAAGCTAAATCGAAAAATCTCATCAATGAACCTTAAATCGGATCGAAAAAAAATATTTGCGAATGCAAACGAAATACAATTCAGGGATCAAAGAGTAATATTCAAACCTGATTCAGACGAGCTGGAAACAGAGCAGCGAGACGAAAAAATGCAGAATTTCTCCTTTCGGAAACGGAATCTCAGGGATTGCGAAAGGAGAAATCAGTAAAAAAAAAAGGGAAATTGGAGATTTTTCGTTTACTTTTCTCAAAAACCCTAGAAATTGCTGAGATTGCTGAGGCCTGAGAGGATACGAAAAATACGGAATTTAGACGGAGACGAAGGAGGGGAAGAGAGAAAATGAAGGAGATGGGCTTTGGTATTTATAGAGTCCGTTTTTTTTAATTATCAAAAATAATTAAAAAAAATAAAACAATAAAAGTCTGAGAAACAAACAGACAGAGAGAGACGTGGTTAACAAGGATTTTTAAGCTGGCTGTTGAATCTCGAAAACACCGCCCATGTTTGACTTATTTACCAATGTGCCATCGCTTAATAATAAATATGCCTTCTGTGCGACCAAGACCACGTTATTAGCTTCCCTAAACAAATGTAATTACAAGTTTATGATTTATTATTGAGTTGGTCATTAGTCATATTCGCTTGTTTTCTGAATTCAACTATTTTTATTTCATTTCTTGGTGTGGAAGTGGAATCTTTGATTTGATCAACCTTAAGGGATTTTAGTAGTATTTTTATACTATTCACTTGACCAAACCTATGTGAATTAAACGGCGTGAATTAGCTTACCATAAGCCTTTGGTCAAAAAAAGAAGCAAAAATTAGCTTACCATCTGTAATTATGCCTCTGTAGATTTCCTATTTCCTTGAAAAATTATATTCCCAAAAAATGAAAATAAAAAGGAAGTAACAAATTAATAAAACCGTGTTGACCAAAAAAAGAGCTAATAAAAACAACCGTAAGGCGGACGTTAGTTGTTACCCAAACAACGAGCTGGTTCGTTCGTCAACGGACACGTGGCTACGAGTCAATACAAGTGAAAAAAGCGTAGGCACCACGTGTAAAAGTTGTAGTGGTGACGTAACCACGTGTAATATGGGCCGTAATGGGCCTAAAAAGGAATTGGTTTTTCTAGTTTCGATGTCCTTTTCCGGAATTGTCTTGGTTTACAAGTACAACATATCGACATCAATGTATCAAACCATTAGTAAGATAGAAATAAACACGACAACACATATATGTTCTATAGATAAAAAATAAAATATCAAACATTTTCGTAATGAAGATGATAGAATGACGTCGATCCTGACTCTAATTGTGTTTAAAGCTAATAAAGTTTACTTAATGGTGTTAGATGATGAAGGGTTATAATCACGGGACCTACAATAGTTAAATGGATTAATTATAGATGTTTAAGTTGTAGATGGGTCCCGATATGAATAAATGGGTCAGATTCACATTTACTTTCCCTGATCACTTTGTAGCATTGCGATTTTGGTGTTATAGCATTATAAAAGACTAGATTTGAAGCCCCGCGCAAGCGCGGGGTTGTTTACGATAGTTTTTCTGTTTAATTTTATTTATACTCGTGATTTGAATATGATGGTTTTGTGTTAACTTTCATGTTTTTGTTATGTTTTGAGTTAACTCACTAACACTAAAAAATATGAATAATTTGTTTTTATTTTAATTTATTAGGATATTAACACTCTGCTTTATCTTGAGTTTTCTATTTCTAAAATTTTATCATGTTATAAGTATTATGTTTACTTCTATTAGACGGTAAACATGTATATGTATTTGATTGAAGGTTAAAATTTATAAATATGTATATGCATTTGACTGAAGGTTAAAATTTGTAAACATATTCTTGTTTTTCACTACAATTAAATTTACATATAAAACTCTATTTCTATTTGTTTAGAAAAACAAACTCTAACTCTAATGTTTCATTAGCTTTCTATTGTCTTAATTAATTTATATTCAACTTTTTAACTTGTAAACACATTCTAACATTTTTAAGTAGGATAAACCTTTGAATAATAAAGTAAATATATACTATTTGAAGTTGAATATTTCTTTACTCCATCTCTATTTTATATTCCAACTTTTTGATAACTTTTAACATCAAATTATCACATACTTTCTATTAATTAATCAATTTATTTGTATATTTTTATTAAATATGAATAAATGTAAAGAAATATGAATAGTCATATATTTATTAAATATTTTAAATACAATTTAATGTTTTTGTGCTGATGTGGACACTCTCAAATGGAGAGAGCAACTCCCTAATTATATATAAGATATCCGTGGAAATACGAGTCAATAAATAACAGTGTTGAGTGAATAAGTAATGGTTTTGAATATACTTTTCTCATTAGAAAATATTAAATAAATGGAAAAAGGGAATGGTCAAATTAAGTAATTGGAAGTTACAAAACAAAATTAGAAAAAACAGCTAGATTTTGTTTTGTCTTGCAACAGCTTTGGAAGGTTCGCCACGTGTGTCCTACGCTGCACATATGACGACTGACGAGTCATAACCATAAGCTGACGCAATGATGACACAGCTGAAAATGACAAATTCATGAATTTGTCGAGGTTCAAAGGAAGAACATTTGAGATTTGACAGATTGGCGAATCTCTCATACCTTCTCGAGTCGCCATTTGATTTTTAAGATATTTTCTTTTCTTTTTGTTAAATATTACTTGACAACTGTCATATATTTTCTTCTAAGTTTTTTTTTTTGTTTTGCTGCCTTTGTTAATAACTTAATACTGTATTTGATTTACGATCATCATTTCATTTTCATCAGTACTATATTACTCATTTACTTTTTCTAAAAGGAAACTGTTTATAGTTTATATTCAATAAATTAATGGTAAATCATCTAAGAACCGTATAATGCAAGATATGATAATAACTTGGTTAAAATGTAACTCGCCCTAACTCCTAAAACAGAGTACTAACTAAACGTTTATGAGATACTCCGTACTCGGTTTAATTACTCCTTTCGAAATTCACATGTAACAAACCTACACTAATGTAAATCTACGACTAACTAAAAAGACAAATCAGAGTCACTATTCTTCTCTCTTTGTAGTCTTTGCAATATTGTTATTATTATGCAGAAAAGCAGCCTGTACTAGTTAACCATTCTTTGTTGGTTTGCTGGTACTTAGTTTGCAAGTTCATAAATTCATAATATAATAATACAGAAAAGAAAATCATATGTGGCGACCACTAACTTTAAGCTCATTTTGTCAAAGTCCACATGTTATCAGAGTGATAATGATAAGATAACATTATATGATAACATATAATGTTATAAGCCATCTGCATATGTGTTTCCACGTATCCTCATGCATACATTTATCATATCTATTACAAATTTCATTTGTTTTCTTCATTATGGTTTCTTACATTACGGGATCTGGCTACACTAATGTATGTGACAAATTTTGTAACATGATTTTAAAAATTGAACCCGTCGCGACTCGCGAACCATATCTAACGAACGTGTGATAAGTTTGTTAGTAAAAATAGTTTATTAAGTTATAAGTTTCATCTATGAATTGCCCATATCACTTACATATTATGGTAAGTCTCATTATATTTTTGATGTAGAAATTCTTAATATAATCATTGGTGGTATGCAAAATGACTAGTTACAATTTAAATATCGCAAGATCGAGACAAATTGTGTATATAACAGTAGTTTTCTTTGTCAAGTATGTATTCATAATAGTTTTGAGGTTTGTAACCACGATGTTCAATAACTACTTTATTATAACAAACTAATTTAGTTGTATGAATTCACGAGTCACGAATCCACTTATACTAGTTAATCGATAAAACAACTCATGTTTATATATACCACATGCTATATACATCCAGGGCCTGTATAAAAATAAGTTGTTTTATCGATTAACTAGTATGTTTATATATACCATATAGTAGATTTAGAAAAATGATTTATTATTAATCCACCGAATAAATAATATTATTTCATGGATAATCGCCTAGGAAAAACATGTAATGTTATGTCCACTACCGACAACCTCAGGGGAATCCCTAGGAAAAACATGTAATGTTATGTCCACTACTGACAACCTCAGGGGAATCCCCTAGAACGGATGATATTTATCAAGTAAATGGGGCTTGGAAGGAGACAGAAACCCGAATAGGGCTAAGGTGGTTCTATTTAAACGTGAATATTCAGGAAAAGCTCTTGGGTACTCGCAACTTGAGAAGGGGAATCTCGCCTCTCCAAACAGAGTTGCATGCACTTATATGGGCCATGCATTGCATGTTACGGCATAATAAATTGATAACACGATTTAAGACGGATTGCTCTGATGTGGTGAAGATGGTGTCTACGCCACAGAAGTGGCCAGCGTTTGCAATACTTCTTGACGAGGTTAACCGGTGTAAACGGAGGTTTACCTTCTTCTCCATCGCGCACATACCTAGGACGAAAAACACGAAGGCAGACAAGTTAGCACAGAGTGCTCGAGCTCTACCTACTGATATGTATTATGTAACTCTATTTCGCCAATTTGGATTTCCGAGCTGGTTTAGAAATAGAGGCTGTTGACAAAAAAAAAAAAAAAAACATTTTGTTTGTAACCACTGATAAGTGATCAATTATACACATGTTGACATGTACAGCATTGCCAGCTAACAAGAGAAGAGGAATCATATACGTATTGCCCGTTAAAGAAATGTTTAGTAGTAGTGATAAGCACTAATTAGATTCCACAAGTCCTCGAGAATATGTCGTGTATATAATATGTTAACAGTTGGCCAGGCCATATGTCTTATTATACAAAATGCATGAATACATTTAATAATTTCAAACGGTTGAAACCTCTCTATCACTCTATAATACTATATATAACACACAATGAATTAACTTACTCGTTTATTTTTAGGGGGTTACTGCTTAAATTAGTTGGTCGAAGCCGACGTTATTGTCAAATAGTTGTTGGAGATTTTGTGTTGTCCACATATAACATAGCGTTTGAAACCCCTTAAACGTCAAAATATCTCAAAATAATCAAACTTGTTCCAATGTGTTTTTAAAATAAAAAAAACATACCTAACTCTAGTAATTTATATTGTACGACACGTTTAAGATGAATCATTCAATTCGACTTCAAACTTTGATTTTGTTCATTTATTTGGACTCGTGATTCTCTTTCTAATTTCCTGAAATTCTCTCACTCTGTCTGTCTAAAGTCTAAACAAAACAGTTGGACACAAAAGAGTTCAATACAAGTCGGTAATGGGCCTTTTGATGGGTGCAACTGCGATTGCATACCCAATATATATGTTTTCACATATTCAAACTTAATCGACTAATAGAGTGCCATCGCCAAGAACATTAAGCACAACATTTTGTTAATTTCGAACCAAAAGTATAAGAAGAAACTAAACCAAGAGAAGTTTATTTGAAGTTGATATCACGAATACGAAAGTTGAAAATCTAACAAAACCAAATCCTCTGTTTACAAATCACAACCTTTACACACATAAACCGAATCATAACCGGTTTCAACATCTCTAACAGCAAGTAAACCGTAACATAACCGGCCAACTAAACACACAGAAATTTACAATCTTCTAAAGAAATTCTTGAATTTTTTTGTTCTTTCTACAACTAATCAACCAATCATCATCTTCTTGATGAAATCCTCCAAGAAAGATCACTAATCCGAGAAATCAATCTGATTCAACCAAGAAGAAACAGAGATCTTGAACCCAACAAGAAACTGGCACAAACCTTCAAGAAACAGAGCCGCTTGATGCTCACTCGTAGCTCCAACAATGTCCATGATCACACTCTTCCTCAGACGATTCGCATCAACGAAGATACTCACAAGCTCCTCCATCTCCACCTTCGCCGCCTCATCCACACACGCCGGAGCAGCTGCCGACGTAACCGCCGTAACCGTCTTCTCCTTCTTCCCTCCACGGTACGACGAGACCCAATCCTCAGAGACTCGAGCGACGAAGCCTCTCTGCGCTTTCCTCATACGATCCATGAGAACAGGGACCATGAGCCTCATCGTGCACTCGATCTGATCGATTCTCGTCACAAGCTCGTCGGACGGATCTTTCCACGCCGTCGCGATCTTCAGCGGCTGATTCACGAGGTCGAGATTCAGGTGGAGGGAGTAGTCGTCGTCGGAATCTTGGTTCTCGCGGTCGATCATCGAGCGGAGGAGATTGGTGAGGAGGTAAGGATGGATGTCGCCGAGGAAGAGAAACGGCGTCTCGAGAGAGTTGCGCCACGACGGGAAGAGGAGGTAAGGGATGGTGTTGGGATCGGCGGCGAGGTCTAGGGTTTCGTAGTAGAGAACCAGGTGGCGGAGGACGAGATCTACGTTGGCGGAGAGGACGGAAGCGGAAGCGGCGGAGGAGAGCGATTGGCGGAGGAGAGGGAGGCAGTTTTCGGTTAGGGTTTTGGACCAGTCGGCGTAGAAGTCGTTGAAACGGCGAGTTGGTTTCTTGCGGGAGAAGAGAGAGAAAGGCATTTTCTCGGGACAGTGGAAGAAGACGATAATGGAGGATTTGTGTGATTTCTTTGAGGGGTTTTTCTTTTATAGCTGAAAGGTCTGCTCTGTTTTTGGAGGGAAGCCAAAATAACTGATCGATGTTATCGGTTTAATTGAAACCAAACCGGCATCTCATAATTTTAATCCAATTCGGTTACATATATAAAACCAATTTGGTTTAATCGCTTGAGAAGCTTCCAGGGAAGAGAGGGTCTTCTTGTGTCTCCTCTCTTCTGCTACTATAACTGCACTTTGATATATTTTAGGAATAATAGTAAGCAAATGTGAAATCATCTCATACATAAAAATATGCTAGATATAACTGTTTTTTTATTATGTAGCCATGACAATTTGTATTTGGTAAAGAAATATCATCATTTGTTCATTTCCTAAAATCCAGTAATTGATAGTTTGATGACATAAACGAATCTCGCTCTATAGGAATAGTGATTGATGAATCATGAATAATTGTTTACTAGTTTGGTACTGGATTCTAATGATAATAAAAATTTGATTCGGATAAGGTCAAAAAGATATAAACATGAATAGAGATTTAGCAGCAAAACATGAAGATCCGTGATTGGTGGATTACCAACAAGTTAACAATGTTTGGAAAATCGCATCTCAGTTTAATTTTCATTTGATTCATAATGTCTTCTTGTTCCCAAACATATCTGACGTTTTACTTACCCCAGTCTTTCGCTGTTCGTATTTTTGTCTTGTGCATATTGTCAATATATTATCAAAATCTATGTGCATCATTAACATAAATGAAGTTTTAATATCGAACTTTATATTGTTCCCCCTATGTAGAATTTGTCGTTATTTGAATACTTGCTTGTCGTCGGCGCGGGAGGATTCATGTGGTCTATTTAGCGTTACGTTATTAACACAAATAATTAGCTGATATGATACAAATTATTAAGTCATGTTGTCATTAAGAAATTCAAAGGGTTTATCATCAAAAGTTGCATCTTGAATTATTGAAAACATATACAAAATTATTGTGAAGCTTTTTTGAACTCCTCGTGGATTATTTGGTTATATCCCAAGATCTTTATTCCTTTTGTTGGTGGATAAAATACTAATTGTGATTTTTTTAAGATAAATACATCTGCAAATTGGAAGAGATTTTTTGCTCTATCATTATCAAATTAGCAAGACTTAAAAATGATCGATATTGGACGAAGACTGTAAGTTAAAAGAAAAAGAAAAACAGACTTAAGATAAGAAGAACATATGCATCACTGATGTATTGTACCGATCGAATACTTCAAAATTAGGTACAGAAAAGTACATACATTTGTTTTTTTCTATCCTACTCTTCGATGAAGCCTCCCGGTTTCTTGCTGTTTTTATTTTTCTTTTTCGCCAAACAACTATTTTTCCACATACATTGACATTTAAAATGAAAATGGAAGTGAATATGTAAAGCACTTTTTATCCAGAAATTTAATATATAACATATGATTTTTACTTTGCAGAACAAATCTTACAATCCATATGAGTACTATATAAATTGACCATTGGATAATCAAAGATCCAGAAAACAATGATTCAAATCGAAGCTAACTATGATCCAGAAATTTCATATCATGAGCATCAAGTATTTTTCGGTATGATATTTCTAGTCCTTCGATCGTAGTGTAATAAACGATTAATTCTTATCAAACATACCACAACCAACTAAAAACTGTGTAACAAAAACATGTTTTATTCATATATATTATGAAAAATTGTTGAAATATCATGATTTTGATTTTTGAGGATGGCAAAAAAAGAAGGGAGCACTTTCTGTGAACCGGAGCATGTTACGCAGATCGCAGGCGCCGGGTCGACTGCCGACCAAATCTCACTCCATGTCTCTCAAACACACATGCTTGGCTTTTGTCTTCTTCATTCTTTATGTAACCTTCATACTAATTATTTTATTTTGACTTGCAAATAATAAAAATATTGTGTATAAAGTTTGTCTTCAATCCTCATATATCTTGGGCTATATCTTAAAACATGGCCGTTTGTGTTTTCCTTATTTAAAAAAATATATATATATATATATATATATATATATATATATATATATAGATCGAGTTCTCTCTTATCAAAACCAATATTATAAAATTTGGACTAAGACTTAATTGGTCCATATACATTGATAGACACACCCATATGTGCATGTACACTAAACGACACATTGCGCATATAAGTTATCTTTTTTTTTGGGAATAAAGTCGCATATAAATTGTTAAAAATGAGTATAATAACTCCAGTCGGGTCCTCTAGATGCAATTACAACACGAAACATAGTTTTTACTCACTTGCGTAGGCAAAAAGTTTGACAGGTTAGTGTTTTATCATGGAGTTTCAGGACAAATGAACATATATAACACGTCAACTATTAAAGATCTTTTAAATGGCAAAATAAGAGTATCCGAAATATCAAGTTTAAAGAGTCGGAAAATCTATAATCCAAAACACATAAAATCTCTGACACCATATTAGCTAATAGCTTGCATCAACATTCTTAAGTATTCAACGAACTTGTGAACAAGGAAACTTTTATGGTCCAACCCTTAAACTGCATATTATCATCGTACAGTGCAATGAGGTTGACTTTTAAAAGGCTTGCAAATTTATTAGAGATTGACCTTGAAAACGCTAACACGGTATGACTTTTCACTAATGATTGACATCATACAAAATGATACTTGGAGTACTAACGGTTTAGAACATCTTCCTAAAGTTAAATTTTCCTTGTTAATGGGGGTAAAGTAAAGTCAATTTTTGTTATCAAATAATACTATTCGTGAATAGCAGCATGTTATTCAACCATTTGACAAATATTCTCAAATATATAGAGTTTGGTCTTAACTGAAAGTAGCCTCGTGCATAAACAGCCAACGAAGAAGCAATAAGCATAAATTTCTTGTGACGGGAAGAAAAATTAATCCGTTTTTTTTTTCCCTCTTCTTGAAGCTAGCAAGTACAACTCTAGTTTTCCTTCATTACAATTTACAATGAATAAAATCTTCTATAAAAACGACAAATAGCTAGAATTATAAAAAAGAGAAATTTTACGAACAAAAACATAATATTTAATTAATGACATGTTAAATTTGGAAAACTATACATCAATACGCACATGTATACACGCACGTACACACATACTACCATTCAACGGTCACACCTCAGGGGCTATAAAAAGAGGTTGCTTTGCTCAGAACCAAACCAGTCTTCTTCTTCATCTTGAACTGTAACTCAAAACAGAGAGAAAGACACATAGCAAATCAAACTTTATATATCTTCGTTCTAATCATCTTCTCAAAGTTAAGTCCATTTCTAAAAACACAATTTCATTTTTGGTATTCTGAACAACCATGAAGAGGCTCCGAGGTTTCAAGATCGGACACAGGTTCGTCAAGATCTTCAAATGGATAATCCGAAGTAGAAGAAGAATCCAACGGGGAAACGCCAATGCCTGACCCAAATTCTCAACCCGGTCACAAAAATCTGCTCTTTAGCACGGCGATGTCTCCGTCGTGGAGCCAACAGACTATGCGGAGGAGGAAAGAAAACGGGTCATACCCGGCTGGGCAACGACCCGAAGACGCAGGCTGTTCCGAAAGGGCATTTAGTGGTTCACGTGGGAGAATCCGGCGGCGATACGCGGCGCGTGGTGGTTCCGGTGGTTTACTTTAACCATCCTCTGTTCGGAGAGTTGCTGGAGCATGCGGAGCGGGCTTACGGGTTCGACCAACCGGGTCGGATAACGATACCTTGCAGGGTATCGGATTTTGAGAAGGTTCAGCTGAGGATCGCCGCATGGGATCACTGCCGACGGAAGAAGACTTTCAAGATTCTCTAAATTGACTCTCTTTCTTGAGAAAGAAGAGAGTCAAATTTCAATTTATTGCCACTTTCTGTGAATATCAGTTGATAGGTTAGACACATCACCAACACTTTGTCTTACCAATACATTGTGCATTTGCCTATGTTGTTCAAATACCGATTTTACTTCTAGTTTTTTTGGGTGTTAAAAGGGTTTTAAATGTTCAAAATTCAAATACAGATTTGTGATGAAAAAATGAACTATTTTACATATATCATAGTGAAGAACCTCTATATTATCTGGATATTTATGTCTTTATTGTTTTGTTTATTACACGTATGTGGCACTGGTTTGTATGGTATCTATCAGGTATCAAAGTATCTCATACCAACATGAGTGGGTCAAGTTATTTTTTGTAAAGAAAACCCTTTAACAAAAAAAACATGGGGTTAGTTATGATATTTTAAGTTATTTAACAGGGGAAATAAAAAATGGAAGATGATCGAGAATAAATTGATACATCATATATGATATACGGTATATCGTTGTCTCGAAATTCCATTTTTTTTATGAACAGTATACGTTGTCAGTTGTCAAGAAATTCTTATAAGTCCAAAATTGTTGATGCTAGTTTTTGTCTGGTTTAAAATTCGAGAATGTGATAAATAAAATAAAGTATATTTTGTGTTTATTTGTTTAATTCTACGTGATACATAACTAGTAACAACAAGCTGGGGTAGCTCAGTTGGTTAGAGCGTGTGGCTGTTAACCACAAGGTCGGAGGTTCGACCACTCCCTCTAGCGATTTTTCATAACTTCACTTTTTTTTTGTTCTGCATGTAAACCTAGCAGGAAGCAAGTAAGAAAAACCACTCATGAACATGAAACCAAACATTCCTTGTTCTCTCTAAATATGGACGACCTTGACTATAGTCTCTCTAAATATGGACGATCTTGACTAAATTTTGATAAACTCAGATTTGCTTTTAAGCATGAAATTTAGAGACCAAAATTTTGAGTGTTTGCTTGAAGGAATGGAATTATTGGTGGGCAGAATTGCCTAGTCATTGTAGGATTGCTCAAAAATTATTTGGCGCCTCTGCATCGTCTCTTATATAGATTTATTCTTTTATAGTAACCTCTTAGTCAAAGTAATTACATAAATTTGTACCCTGTCTCTAAAACTTCCAAAAAGCTTTCACGGAGCAATGTGTGACCCAATCAGCTTTGAAGAAAGTGAATGATTCTGAAAAAAGTCAAGAAAGAGACTGAAGCAACAAGACTAACTTTGATCGATTCGCTTGTATGGTTTTATTAAGCTAGTGTGACCAAGATAAATGTCTACGGACAATTTAATTTCTTCTGTTACGAGCGACGTCGTTTTTCCTTGTATATTTATTTGTGTTCATAATTTTAAAAAATCTTTGATTACTATTTAACGCTGTCGTTTTACGTTGACAATCATGTCTCCGGCGACATCGACGATTCTCGTCGGTGGACGCCGCCGTGTCTCGCGCGATTCACACGGCGGCGAAGCCACTACTCCCGCCGTTTCTCCTCCTACTCCTCGAGATCTCTGCCGATTTCCGATTCTCCTTCCCGTGTCCCTTTCCCTTCTCCTCTCCCCTCCGTTACGACCTTTCCTCATCCCGTTCCTCCTCGGCCTCCTCCTCGATCTAATCTTCGTCGGAATCGTGAAGCTAACCTTCCGTCGAGCTCGTCCCGCTTACAATCATCCATCAATGTCCGCCGCCGTATCCGCTGATCACCAGGGGCGGATCTAGTAAGGGCTTAGGGTGGTCAGTTGACCACCACTGATTTTTTTTTTCTTTTTTTATTACTTATTAAAAAAAATTATTGACCCTGTTTATAAATAATAGTTGACCCCCCTAAAATATTATTCTAAAAGTTTAAGTAAAGGATCATAAAAATTACTTGGGCTTACGATGGGCTTATAATAAAGCTACGTTTCAATTTAGAATTATACAAATTTACCTAATTCTATTGCTGTAAAAGACGAAAGACAAACCTATTAAACTTCTCCTTCGTCTCCCTCTCCTTCCGTCGATAAAAGAGAAAATTCCAATTTCCATGTAAGAACTTCTTGCTTTTAGTATATAGTATACTATAGTTTAATATAGCAGTTTTGTTGTTGTAAAATTGGAGATTTCGAATTAGTTTAATAGTTTTGTAACTTGAACTAACCAATTTACTTTCACAAAATCCATCAGATTACTTATGGATCGATTTGTGAAAAGAACTGCTCCAGATCCTATCAATTTAAATGACTTCCCTGAAGATCCTGGTGAAAGAAAAGGAATACTGGAATATCATCCTAATCAAAGAGATGAGGTGAGACGCACATATTGGCTTAGAGGACCTTGTCAACCTCGTGGCCATCCTTTTAAACAGCGATCAATAGGAAATACATTAAGGCGATTTAATCTCCAGTGGTTTGATGAATTTCATGATTGGTTGGAATACAGTGTGAAGAAAGAGAAGGCATATTGTTTGTGTTGTTACTTATTCAGAGATAACAACGACAATAAAGGTGGAAATGCTGCATTTGTGACAGAAGGGTTTCATAATTGGAATAAGTATGAGACATTGGCTGCTCACGGACGTCTTATAAATAGCTTTCACCATAAAGCTAAGAAGAAATGTGAAGATTTGGTGAGACAAGGCCAGTCAATTGCACATGCTTTCCAGAAACAAACTGATGTTATGAAAAATCAGTATCGTATTCGGCTAAATGCTTCTGTCGATTCTTCTAGATTGTTACTGAGGCAAGGATTGCCATTTCGCGGTCATGATGAGACAGAGGATTCTAGTAACCAAGGAAACTTTTTGGCGGTACTGAAGTATACTGCACAACAAAATGAAGCCGTGGATAAAGTTGTGCTGAAGAACGCTCCTGGAAATAATCAGATGGTGTCTCATCCAATTCAAAAAGACATTGTTCATTGCTTTTCAGAAGAAGTAATCAGTTCCATAATTCAAGAAATTGATCATGATGTTTTTGCTCTATTGGTGGATGAATCCGCTGACTCTTCGGAGAAAGAGCAGATGGCTATAGTATTTCGTTTTGTTGATAAACATGGGATAGTGAAAGAGAGGTTTGTTGGTCTGATTCATGTGAAGGATACATGTTCCTCAACTCTGAAATCTGGTATTGATTCATTACTTGCTAAGTACAGATTGAGTTTGAAAAAAGTTAGAGGCCAAGGCTATGATGGAGCAGGAAATATGAGGGGTGAATTCAATGGACTAAGAGCGTTGATTTCAAGAGAGAGTAGCTGTGCATACTATGTCCATTGTTTCGCTCACCAGCTTCAATTGGTTGTTGTTGCTGTTGCAAAGAATCATCTTGAAGTAGGAAACTTTTTCGATATGGTTTCTTTGTTAGTAAACGTGGCTGGAGCTTCTTGCAAGAGAAAAGATAAGATCAGAGATAGTCAACGAGAGATCAATGAGGAAGGAATAAGTAGTGGTGAAATCAAGACTGGAAAAGGGTTGAATCAAGAGTCTTCACTTCAAAGACCAGGAGCTACACGGTGGGGTTCTCATTATAAAACGTTGTTGCGGTTGGTGGACTTATTTGCTTCTGTGGTTAAGGTGCTTAGGTATGTCCAGGATGAAGGTATAGATAATACCAAGAAGCGTCAAGCAAATGGTATTCTCAAATACATTCATAGTTTTGATTTTGTGGTCTATCTACACTTGATGCTGCATATATTGGGACTCACAGAGAATCTATCAATGGCATTACAAAAAAAAAACCAAGACATTGCAAATGCTGTTTCACTAGTGGAATCCACTAAGCGACAGTTACAAAAGTTAAGAGATGATGGCTGGGATTCTTTTGTGAAGAAGGTTTCTGATTTTTGTAAGAAGCACGACACTGAAATTCTCAACATGGAAGATGAGTATATCGATCCGAGGAGGCCACGCATGCGGACCAACTTCACAAACTTGCGTCATTTCCAAGTTGACTGTTTTTACTATGTGTTGGATATTCAGCTTTTGGAGTTCAATGATCGCTTTAACGAGGTAAATTCTGAATTGCTCATCTGCATATCGGCTTTAAATCCTATCGATTTATTCTGTCAGTATGACAAAATAAAGCTGATGAGATTGGCTGAGTTTTATCCTGAGGATTTCAGCCGTGTGGAGTGCATTTCTCTTGAGCACCAACTTGATATTTATATCGATAATGTGCGAGAAGATGAAAGGTTTGCTGATTTGAAAAATCTTGGAGATCTAGCAAGGGTGTTAGTAGAAACTAAGAAACATCTTTCACATTATTTGGTTTATAGACTTTTGAAGCTAGCTTTGGTTTTGCCTGTTGCTACTGCAACGGTTGAGAGATGTTTTTCTGGAATGAAGATTGTGAAGACTAAGCTACGAAATCGTATGGGTGATCAGTTTCTAAGTGATAGTCTTATTTGTTACATCGAAAAAGAATTATATGACGATGTAACAAATGAACAAGTGACAAGAAGATTTCAAGCAATGAGTGATCGTAGAATGCATTTGTAGACTTTTTTTTCTTTTTCATTTGACAGTTTATGAACTATATTGTCATAGTTTTTTTTTGTTTTGATACAATTTTTTTGTTTGGCAATTTATAAACAATGTTTTTTAGTTTTTTTTTTTATTTTGACCCCCTTCAAAATGATTTCTAGCTCCGCCCCTGATCATGTGTGTGTAACATAAGGATGAATTGCTATGTTGAACAACAAACTACGCAAGGATAATGTGGCGTTAGGGTATTAGTGAGAAGATCTAAGAAGGTAAAAGCAATATGGGCTTCAAGTTAACAAAGAGAAGTGACAGGTAAAACCCATAAAGGTCGGTTTGTGATATTATACGGTCACTACAAGAAATTCTGTAGTTAGCTTGTTCCTTCTCTTTTAGAAAAAAGGCAATATTATAACAAAAAATCTCTAATTTTAAAAGTGCCACATGTTCATAAACGCCACAAAAAGTTTAGGCAAGATCATGATTTCTACTTATCTAGCACATACAGTCTTCCAAAATTCAAAACCGACTAGCATTGTGCCTATTCTAGAACAACGTCTGAGACATCGCTATGCACACCATCATGATGAAATGTGGATACCAACGAACACATATGTTCAATTCGAACTGAATTATTAAAATATAAAAGTTTTTTGGAATTTTTTTTGTCAACCTAAGTGTTTATTTTTTGTTTTTTTAGTATTAAGTGGGAACACAAGTGGTATTACTTTGATAACACTTGTACAAATTGAAACCATTAGCTGGCTATACGTCTTGGTCGGATTTTAGAATCTTTCTTGTTTAATAAAACAGAATAATGGTGTTTGTTTAAAAACATTCTCACGTCTTAAACACAATCACACAAACGCCCCACCAGAATTTACTTTCGTCTCCTGAAATAATAGTATAAGATTTTGACAACTTGTATATACTTTACGGTCAGTAGACTCAGTACATACAGGCCATTCTGATTTGATTTTTTCTTGGTCACTGTAATTAATTTTAAAAAAAAAAATATGTACAAGAAAATAGTTTTACCAAAGGCTTATAAATATATATGGTATCAGAAGAAAGGAACAAATCAAATGCCAGGAAAAGGATATTTATAGAAACAAGAAAGTCGTAGCGTCTTGGTCAACAATGTAAAGATAAAATAATATTTCTATGCTATATATTTGATTAATTCTCCCTAACAATAAGGTACATTCCAAGACTATATAAATGCGAAAATATAATTTTGAGAAGTCAGATACGGAATAAAAGGAAAGAGAGCTTAATACTCGTTCAAAGTAAGAAGTAAGAACAAACTAAACACTATTGTTTTTGCCGGTGTTAGACAACGAATCAACGATCATGGCTTACACTAACAAAATCCCGGCAGCGGTTGCGATAGCAGTGCTGTTTCTTGCGGTTACGATCGCTCCTCGGTGGACGGAGGCACAATCATTCTCAAAGCTGAATCCAGTCTGCGCGTTGATAGTCCCTGAGATCTCCCAACTTTGCTATCTTACGGGAAGTGTGATCCCATCTGAAGATTGCTGCAAGAGTCTCAAATCGGCGAGCTCGATGCAAGTGGATTGTCTCTGCGACAATTTCATTGCACATCCTTCTAACGCCACCCTCACCCGAGCTCTCTTCGACGCTGTCCACAGCGCCTGTGGCGTTCAAGACAAATTCGCTTGTAAAGGTACGTACCTATACTTTGATTATTCTCCTTTTTTTTGTGTGGTTATAATAATCTTGAGTTTTAATCTTGTGATTGGTCATTGGTTATGCATGCTATTATACAATTTGGTTACGTAACTTTTTATTATTTGGTTACATAACTTTGAATGCAACTATAATGTTTCCTAAATTGAGAAAAATCCTAAACAGAAGTTTTTTTGTTTGTTTTGTTTTGTTCAAAATCCTAAAACGGAAGTTGTGTATCATAAATTCATAATCATCTTTGTCTCCAAATTTGAAAAATGGACGGACAAACATATTTTCTTTCAAAAGTTCGTACATTTTTATAGATTTTATATAGTGGAATTTGAAGCGAGAGTTATGGTGACTAAATGGTAATTAATTGATTTTGATTTTTGCGTGGCAAGGAGCAGACGCCAGCGGAGGAGCAATGAACAAGTTTGCTGCATCAATGGGTCTATTTGGTTTTGTTGCAAGTCTGTTTTTGTAATTCATTTCGACTTGTGCCTACTAAATTATATGCATCTCTTCTTCTTCTTGTTTTTGTTTTGGACAACTCTTGACTAATACATTTATAGTTGATTGCATATGTAACGAATTGTCTGATTTGTTTTGAGTGATCGTTGTAATCCTCTGCGTCTGAAAGTTATTGTTGGATTCTCTTTGATTAATACCACGGAAAAAATGTTATAATTAATATAATACTTTCAGCCATGTTTAAATCGTTTTTTACATATATCCCTTTTACGTATACATAGAAACATTCACGGACATAGTCAATTATGTTTGCCTAGCATCGAATCGTGACAAGTAAGCCTGCAAAGAAATAGTAAGAAATTCACTTGGTAAGCAAGAAAAAAAATATTAACATTAGAGACCTTCCTTGTGTTATAAAATGTTTGCATACTGTTTTCGGTCTGGCAATGTATTGGGACTTTAATCCAAACGACTTAGAAAAATAAATCATGAGGGCTTGTAAGTAAAGGAATTAAGGAAAGATTCATATATGAAAGGTCAAACAAGTAACAAGTATCAAATCTCACACATCTGTCTAAAAAGATTCGATCAAACCAAACGATTAATCAAATTTTGGTCATCAATTCATATATTACCCTTTGATGGTTCAATATCTTCAACAGCCATGCATGCCGTCTAATAGCACGTCTAATTTAACTACAAAAGATTGATCATATTGACTATTTCTTAAGATAATCTGTTAAACACGGATTGACAGATGCAGAAAGACTTAGCTTTTAGAGTACTTATTTATTTCAATAATATAATGGTAGTTGTTGCTTAATTTGCATCGGACGTACAAAAGGGGTTCTCACTTCTCACGTCTTATACAAATGCTCCGCACGAAATCTAGTTTAAAATTTCCTTAAACTAATCAATAAAAATTTAGGTCAACACGACAATACCTGTAAAACAAGAACGAAGAAAAATTCTTGTTTTGAGAAGTCATATACGAAAAAAAGTGGGTTAATTAAAACTCATTCAAAATTAATAAAACCATTTTTGTGTTTGCGGGCGTTAGAAAATAATCACAAATGGCTTACCTTAACAAAGCAAAGGGACTTGCGGTTGCGGTCACAACGGTGCTGTTTCTGGCGGTTGCGATCGCTCCTCAGTGGACGAGTGCACAGCCGCCGCCAATGCCAGAGTTTGATTCAATATGTGCGATATCGATCCCTGAAATCGTCAAACATTGCTATGCAACGATAAGTGCGGTACCATCTGAAGAATGCTGCAAGGATCTCAAAACGGCGAGCAAGAGGGAAGTGACTTGTCTCTGCGACAATTTCTTTACACATCCTATTTACTCCAACATCACCAAAGTTTACTTCAGCCAAGTAAACACCGCCTGTGGCGTTCTCGACAAATACGCATGCAACGGTATGATAATTCAAAAAGTTGTATTCTTGTGTGATTTAGTTACGCATAACGCATGTTATTATGTAATTAGTCATTACAAATATCTTTACCGTAGTTTACATAGCTTAATCATATCACAACTATTATGACATGATGATCATCCCGACAACATCACAAAAATGCTAGAAACAATTTATTAGAGTCCTAGTGCAGTTTGAAACAGGAGTTCTGATGATTTAATGGTAATTAATTAATGATTTTTTTTCAGTTTCAATGTTTTTTTTTATGATTTTTGTTTTGTTTTGTATGGCAAAGGAGCCAATGGAGGAGCAATGAATAAGATTACTACATCAGTGGCTCTATTTGGTTTGGTTGCAAGTCTGTTCTTTTAAACTTCAGTTTGGGCCTACCAAACTATATGTAATTGTTTCTCTTTTTCCTTTTGTTTCCGAACTGACAACTCGAAACTAATAATACATTTTGACATTTTGTTGATTGCATTTGTAAAAATTTGTTTAAATGATCAAAACGTTTGTAATAATCTATTATTATTTGTAATAATACATCAGTGGCTCTATTTGGTTTGACCAAAATGTTTAGAAATTTGGCTACCAAAATAAGAAGGACGTACTCTTACTATTTTAGGAAACACAAATTCGATATAACAATTTGTTACGTACTAATGATAAGTTTGAGTTTAAATGAATTGTTATACAGATATACAACATACAACAGACATATCTACTATATACAAATAGCCAGACGACGGTTTCATCTGTTGCATACGAGATCACTAAAAGCCTCTGAGATGTTGGGTATCTGGAATTTAAATCCCGCAGTTTGATATAATTCCTTTACAAAAGAATAACAAAACGTTTTGTAAACCTAGTAGATTGTAAACTTTTTTGGCTGTTAAATTTTTAAGACGTTTTGTAATTAAAATTTCGTTGGTTATTTAATGTAGCTCATCTTTTTGTTGGAGCTTCTTTACGTATTTTAGTTTGAGTTTTGTTTCCTTTCTCTTTAGATAATATTTGTTTTATTCCAAATAAGGATTTGACAGATGTTTGTAGCTTAGATTAGTTTGTTGGTCTGCATTGGATTTATGTGTTTCTCACGTCTTAGACACAAATACTTCCCCTGAAATTTCAATCAAAACCCTTGTTGAAAAAGAACAAAAAATCATTTATTATGAATCAGCAGATCTTTCTGATCGATACAGACCATTTGAATATGCTTTTATTTTTGTTACTGCACAACAATTTTGAATGTTCTTACCCAACTTTTTATGAGGTCTGAAATGCATGTCCAGTAAATTCATTGAATTACATTGGATTTAATGACACAGACCACATTATTCATATAGGTCAAAGACTCAAAGGCATGTGTGATCAAAGGCATGTGAATCGTATTAGTAGTCGGCTTTCCTCTCTTATCATTAGAACAACTGGCGATCCATCTCAAATTATGAGTGCAAATTTAAATTGCTAATTAGTTGTATGATCAAATATAAGGATCTTGAAAAACAATAGAACAGATCTTTGAATTGTCAGCATCGTCCAGCCTATAATGATTTTCGACATTCTGTCCTTAGCAATTTCTTCGGTAAACATTCCATTTGATATATTTATAATAATTTTTTGTTTTCCAGATATACATGAACTTGTAAAAACAATTATACACGAACACGTCATAACATAAATTATTGATCCTCAAAACAAATAAAATGGGAGGAACATGGTCGCAGGTTTTAAGTCAACTAGGTAGAATATAAAACTACAAGGAATCAAGGATTGTGAAAAGAAACATAATTACATTTTGATTATTACTATCTTAGTTCTTAGTTTTTAATAATGTACATGCGAAGACTCCTATATATATGTCCATGCACTTCTTGAGAAGTCACATACGAAAAACAAAGTGAGATAAGAATCCAAAGAAAAAAGACAAACAAACCTTTTGTAATTTTTGCCAGCGTTTTACATAATCCAATGGCTTACATTAACAAGGTTTCAGCGGCTACAGCGATATTATTTCTAGCGGTTGCGATTGCTCCGTTGTTAGCTGAGCCACAGCCATCGATGTTCCCAAAGATGGATCTTGTATGTGCCACGGTGATGCCTGACCTCCTCCAAAAGTGTTTCGGAACCGTTAGAGACACGCCAACGGAAGATTGCTGCAACGATCTCAAATCCGCGAACGCAACGCAAGTCACTTGCCTGTGCGACCACTACATTGCTAACCCTGCGCTTGTCAACATCACTGGACCTTACTCCGCCGGAATCACAACCAAATGTGGCGTTTTTGACAAATATTCTTGCGACGGTAAAGGTACGCACATGTCCTCTTTTTCCGTGTTAGTTATGCATGTTATTAACTGGTAACGTTTTTGTTATATTACAAAACAAAATGTACGCTAGAAAAATAAATTGTAACGGAATATATTAGAAAATTATAATCAAAATACATGACGAATTGACGATATCAAACTATACTTAAAAACAAAATATACTACAGCACCAACAGCTTCACAATCTTATTAAAATATATGCTACGCCAAATATACGTGCGAGACTGTAAACCCATAGAGTTTTGCGTTGAGAACATAGTGCGATTTTTAAACAAGAATGGTGAGTTCTTAGTAATTAATGGATTTTGGTTTTTGTTTGACAAAATAGGAGAAGAAAAGACAGAAGAGGGAAGTAGTAGTAGCAACAGCAGCAGTAGCATCAATGGCAAAGACACTAACAAGAGTGAGGGCAATGGAGGAAGAAGAGCGAACAGTGTTGCTGCATCAATGGCTGTTTTTGGTTTAGTTGCAAGCCTAATATTCGTTATGTTTTGATTTCAATTTTTGAATTTTGTACCGACCAATTTGTATGTGATTCTTTTTTCTTCTTCTTCCTCCTTTTTCTTTATGTAATCCGAGAATTCAATATATGTATGTTGATTTGAAGACTAAAGCTTAAAGCTATGTGAATCTTCCAAACTCCAAAGTATGCGAAGGTTGAGTCGATGAATTTAATAGTTTGGGCCTTTTAGAAAAGTTTAAATTGGCCCACAAACACCAGATTGAAGCTGTTCAACCTTTTGGTTTGTTTTGGTTTAGTTCGGTTCAATTTTAACCGGTTATTTGAGTCCAGTCCAAATCCGGCGATGCTTATCCGTTTAACAAAGAGAGAAAGAAGTAGAAGTAGAAGAAGGTGCTAGAAGCTTAAGCCCTATTCTTTTCTTTTTCCCCAATTTTCGTAATCGAAACAAAAGAGACTTAAAAGAGAAAAAGACGAGACTTTAACAACAACACTCAAAGACCTAAACACACACTCTTTGTCTTTCTTTCTCGCCGATCGGAAGTAACGATGGATGCGACGAAGCTTAGTGAGCTCAAGATCTTCATCGATCAATGCAAGTCTGACCCTTCCCTTCTCTCTACACCTGCTCTCTCCTTCTTCCGTGAGTATCTCGAAAGGTACTCTCTTTTCACTCCGTCTCTCGATCTAATCGTTTTTCTTATGCTCTGGCTTGTATCTCTGGTGGTTTGAGATTTATAAAGTATTGATCTTTGAGTCTCTGTTTGTAGTAGAAAGTGTTATTATATGCTCAAATCTCGTGAAATTGATATCAAGTTCCTGACTTTGGTTTTATTTTCCCGTTCTTCATCTTTGATCTGTGAGGCTATTTAGTTTTGAGGGTCTGGAAATTCTGGGTTTTCTGTTTGCTTACTTGTTTATTTGAAGAGTCTTATGTTGAAATTTGGGATTTTTATGGTTTCAGTCTTGGTGCTAAGCTACCAACTGGTGCTAATGAAGAAGGCAAAGACTCCAAAGCGGTAAACTTTTTTCATGTTTGATTGAATTCGTCTGTGTTTAGCAGAAGAGTTTGGTATGTGATTGATTGTTTTATTGTTCAACAGAGGAGTTTCGTAGTTGAAGAGGAGAGTGATGATGAGATGGAGGAAACTGAAGAAGAAGCGAAACCAAAAGTGGAGGAAGAAGAAGAGGAGGAAGAGATTGTTGAATCTGATGTTGAGCTTGAAGGAGACACTGTTGAACCTGATAATGATCCTCCCCAGAAGGTAAGATAAATAAAACCGTAGCTTTTGATTTTACTAAGTCTTCTCTCTGAGTTATGTCTCTCAAACTCACCTTGGATCTTTGATACAGATGGGAGATTCATCAGTGGAGGTGAGCGATGAGAACCGAGAAGCTGCTCAAGAAGCTAAGGGCAAAGCCATGGAAGCTCTCTCTGAAGGAAAGTTTGATGAAGCCATTGAGCATTTCACCCAGGCAATAACATTGAATCCAACATCAGCAATTCTGTATGGAAACAGAGGTGAGCACTTCTAGTTTTAGTTTTGCCCTTTTAAGCTTCCATATAATTGCTTCTATGTGACTCATTTGTCTGTGTTGTGTGTTTCAGCTAGCGTCTACATTAAGTTGAAGAAGCCAAACGCTGCTATTCGTGATGCAACTGCTGCCTTGGAGGTACAATGATCTCTAATGTTTCCCTGAGAATTTTGTTTTCTAGTAATGAATGATACTTGAATCTTTTGTTGTGTTTGAAATGGCAGATCAATCCTGATTCTGCTAAGGGATACAAGTCACGAGGCATGGCCCGTGCAATGCTTGGAGAATGGGCAGAGGCTGCAAAAGATCTTCACCTTGCTTCTACCATAGACTATGATGAGGAAATTAGTGCTGTTCTCAAGAAGGTATGTGACAGTTTCTTTATTTGATTCATAAACAATGCATTAGAGGGATTCAGTTATAAACTTTCTTGATATGTTGTAGGTTGAGCCTAATGCTCATAAGCTGGAGGAGCACCGTAGGAAGTACGACAGATTGAGGAAGGAAAGAGATGACAAGAAGGCTGCGCGTGATAGACAACGTCGCCGTGCTGAAGCACAGGTAAGCTTAATTAGTCCATGAAATTTGATCAGAAGAAGAATCTTGTGATGACATAATATTGTGTATTGACACTATTCTTGTCTTTTTTTTTTTTTCTTGAAGGCTGCGTATGATAAAGCTAAGAAACAGGAACAGTCATCATCAAGCAGACAACCAGGGGGCGGTTTCCCGGGAGGCATGCCCGGTGGTTTCCCTGGAGGCATGCCAGGTGGTTTCCCGGGAGGTATGCCCGGCGGCTTCCCTGGAGGTATGCCTGATTTTGGCGGTGGTGGATTCCCAGGAGGTATGCCTGCTGGTATGGGCGGTGGTATGCCCGCCGGTATGGGCGGAGGTATGGGCGGTATGCCTGGTATGGGAGGTATGCCGGGTGGTGGCGGTATGCCCAGTGCTGGCGGTGGCGGTGGTGGGATGCCAGGAGGTGTTGACTTCAGCAAAATACTGAATGTAAGTGACTAAGTGTGATGTGTTTGAGCAAAGATGAGATTTTTGAAGTTGAAAATGTGAACTGATTTTCATGTTTTGTGAGCAGGATCCGGAGCTAATGACGGCATTCAGCGACCCAGAAGTCATGGCTGCACTTCAAGATGGTAATGATTCGATTACAATTGTATGCTTTTGAGTGTTTATAATGTTTTGAGTGTGTTTTTTTGAAGTCTTATTTTGTATGCTTTTTGTTGTGAACAGTGATGAAGAACCCTGCGAATCTGGCGAAGCATCAGGCGAACCCGAAGGTGGCTCCGGTGATTGCAAAGATGATGGGCAAATTCGGAGGAGGAGCTCCCAAGTAATCAAAACAGCAACTTGTGTCTTTGCCATTTCTGTCTTGTTGAGCTGAGAGATATGTTGGGGAACTTTTTATTTTTCTTTCTTTTTTATGTCTTTGTTGTCAAGAGAAACTTAATGGAAACACATAACTCAAACTTTTTCGTTAGTAATTTATCTTTTTCGTTTTTATTTTATCAGTTCCTGAGCTATGACCAACTTTTCTCAATTAGCATCATATAATAACTTGTCCATCTCCAATCCTTCCTTATAAATGATTTTAAATTCTAATTTTGTGTAGAAATTTTCTAAACCCTCTTAATTGACTCACAAATAAGGGAATACTAGTTTTTCTTCTATTTATAGAGGATTTCTATTTCTTCCTCAGTTTTTGAGTTGATTTTTTTTTTTACATAATAGTCTTTTAATTTTTAAATATTTTATAACTTAAAAAAATAATTGAATTATTCATTTTCTCATTTCTAACTAAAATTAATTATGGAACATTAATTTACTAAATGACAATTTCTATCACATAATAAATTGTTTAAAAGTTCAATTCAAATAATAAGTTAATTTATGAAACTATTTGAGCTAAAACTTACCAATTAATGTATTTTGTATAAAATTACATTTAGAAAATTATTTTAAAGTAAAAAATAGAAAAATACATTGTAAAAATAGAAAATTACATTGGAGAAATTACTACTTTTTTGCAGTTTGCATCGTGGAGTACAAGATATTTTGAACGCAATAATCTCAATTTCGTTATATTTCCATAGGAAAATATCAAAATGTTTTTCTTTTAAAACTTTTTTAACCGAAACATCTAGTATTGAGTATAATTTATCAATTCTAATGACCTTCTGTTGTTGATTTTTTAATTTTTTGGCTGTTAGAACAAAAAACAATTAATTATTTTAAACAAGTGAACACAATGCATTCTATGAATAGACAGCTTGGCAATTCTTACCATGAATTCAGCAGACTAGTGTATAAGAGAACGATTATTGTGCAATTTTTGTGAATCACAAATCTTTACTTGAATTGTTTTTTTCAAGGGCAGTTATTAATGTAATGAAGAAGAAGATATATGAAACTCTCTGTTTAGTTCGTTGACAAAGATGTTGAGACCCAATACAAGTCCAATGTTAACGGTGATGATACATTCATAATTGGATTTGTACTAGCATCTCATTTCAAATGGTTTGACCTGAAAAATAAATAAATAAACATTTGGAGTTAAATATACAAACAATTAGGACACTATTTGACTTATTTGATCAGATTCTTATAGAGTTGTAGTTTAGTAGCAATTGTTGATTTTAGATCACCAATTTTTGTATATACTATAAAATAATACGAATATGAATAGTAATTAATTAGTTGTTTGAACAAGTTCAAATTCCGAAATGCAGTTGACCAAAAAAAAATGGTTGTGAATAGCAAATAAAGGCACAACATATAAAAAAAACATCTAGGCATTAAGTAATCTACATAACTAATAAGGCTTGGACACTCTCAAGTCTTTGACACGTGGCACTCTTTTTTTTTTTTTTTTCGCCTAACACCAAAACGACGTCGTTTTGCGCTTTATTTTTTTTTTCGTCTTACACCAAAACGACGTCGTTTTCGTAAAAAAAAAAAAAATCTAAATCAAAATTATGTGTAATGCTGTTCGTTTTGATGGGCTTGATTATTTATCGGACCTCTTCGTTTCCATGGTAGCTTTAAATGGGCTTACTGGCTAATTAGCTCATTTCATTTCCTTTTAAAAAGGATTGCAATTATTATTATCTATGAGTCTGTAGGATAATAATCAATCTATAATGATTGTTAGTATAAGGAAAATTAGAAGAACTCAACTCCAGTCGATAAATTATTGTATAAAAGAACAAAAAACATATGAAACTATTCACTATGAGTCTATATAAGATTTCACGTAAATAACAACTAAATTTTAAAACTATATGAAAAAAAACAAAATGCAAAACTTACAGAATCTAATATATTCGAGTAAAAAACAAATGATATATTCGAATCTAATGTTCTGAATAATTAAATTAAAAATATTTGGTTTAATAAACCCGCGCATTGCGCGGGTTCTCTCCTAGTGTAATTAATTTCGACCAAACAAAAATGTAATTGACTAGTTGTGAATTGGTAGAAAACACTTACATTTCATAATAAGGATGGAATGATGTGGTTGGTACAAAATTCTATTTCATAGGTATATGCTACAATTATGTCAACATATTTTGAAAACGATATAAAAATTCAAACTGTTTTAAAGTGCGACAAGTGATTCCACTAGAAAGGATTGTGATGTACATCGGGGAAGTCATCCACAAACTATTGATTAAATCATATCGTCTTAGAAAATCAATAAATTTCTAAAAAGAAGAAAAATAATCGATACATGGTCATTGGTCAATGATGGAAAAACAAACAAAAATTGGAGCCACAATTCTAACGTTGATAGCAACTCTTAAATTCTTAATCGCCCAAATTCAGAAGTGACTTGTTTTCGGTGTTGAACGAAGGTAAAAATACAAAGAAGAAGAAGAATACAAAGGTATGTAGTACATTGTACATAGTTAAATATTGTCTCAAACATTTATAAAGTTTAGTGACTAGTTCTAACATAAAATTGGACCCGAATGATAACACGTAGTTACAATGTCACATTATTTTCCATACTAATAGTTTTCTTGGGTTACTTATGTATGTGAAAAAAACTAACTATACAAACCAAATAAAATTAAACTTCTAGTTTTGTTCTTTCTTTTTCTTGAATTAAGCTTATAGTTTCTTGACTAGTTATACAAACCAAATAAAATTAAACTTATAGTTTCTTGACTTTGACGAACCCTACACCATACCCCTAATTAATATTACTGGCAAACTATGGATTTTCCTCGTTACATGGATTTCTAATTATGCTACTATATATGTATATGATTTGTATACGTGTGTATATATAAATATATACATATATGTATATGCCAGGTATGCATAAAACATGACACTAGTGCTTGTAACTCATCTCCATGCCAAAATATGCTAATGGTGAAGAGTCAAAACCCAAAATCATGAACACCAAAGTCTTGGCAATAATCCAAAAACGTCCAGTCATTGTCGTTGATTCCTTCCGGTGACCATATCGGAAAATCTGTTGCGTCGGGGACGGAAATATTATTGTTACATAATATTCCACCAATGTCATAGTTACTATCACTCCACGAGGCCTCACCTATAGTAGTAGTAGTTTCTTCGGACCATAAATAACTAAACAGATCTTCATCATTATAAGTGTTACTAAGTAGATTATTTTCATTATCCATCGAACTGTTTTGTTCAGTAACCGTGCTGCTGCTTTCGTCTTCTGTAGTTGTGCCACTTGTCTCTACGTTTTTGGTGCTGGTAATCTTTGGCTCCATTGAAATATCATCTGGACTCGACGAAATGTTTTTTGGATCATCGGTTTTAGAAGGTTCTTGGTTTAGAGGCTGATGAGTCTTGGGGTCGATTCCCATCTTAATAAGTTTTTTCTTGATATGAGTATTCCAATGGTTTTTTATTTCGTTATCTGTCCTCCCGGGTAATCTTGAAGCTATCTTAGACCACCTATAAATAACATAATCAGTTGTTAAAAAAACAGAAATAAATTACGATAATTTATTGTGTTAAACTATGTGTTGGTGGAGATGTTAAACTCTTGAAATGTAAACACGAGAAAGTTGAAGAAATAAGTTAGCATTATCTTCGGAAGAGAAAGACGTTACTTTGTCTTGAAGTTTATTTCAGAGAAATATAAATGCAAAACATAACTAGCATACATTTGAATTCTACTATTTTGACCATCTTATTTGGAACTATCTAATTTATTATTTGGCATATTTTACACAACACATAATATGTATACTAAACAGTCTAAAACATGCAGGATAAAAATATTGGACACATACCATTGACTCCAAACCAATGTTTATCTAAATATCCAGGTTTTGTTTCAACGTACGTAGGATTTGAATTCACAATAGAAGACCTTGAGTAAAATTAATATTTTTAAGCTTCCTAGCATATAATCATTAAGTCGGTATTAGCAAAACTGTGGAATTAATACATGACTAGTTTTTCAGGCTTACTTGTTGCCGAGATGAGCATGAAGATCGATGACAAGTAGCTCTTCATCGTGAGAGAGAAGGCCTCTCTTCAAGTCAGGCCGGAGATAGTTAGTCCACCGGAGGCGGCAGCTCTTTCCACAGCGGCGGAGGCCGGCCAGCTTCGGCAACGCACGCCAGCAACAATGGCCGTTGGTGAGTATGAAGTTTATGAGCTTCTTGTCTTCCTCCGCCGTCCACGGTCCTTTCTTCACCTCTAGCTTGTCACAGCATGGCTGCCTCCCCATTAGATTTTGTTTCTTATAATATGTGCGAATGTATATATGTTATATGTGGATGTGAAATAGAGAGTAGAGAGAAGGAAAAAAAAATCGGAAGACTAAAGTTATTGAGGATTGAAAATCTCAACAGCTTGCAAGTTATGTCAAAAGCCTACCAAAGCTCACCCACCTATATATAATATAACCTTCTCACACCTTTCCCCATCAACTTTTAAAATAAAGATTTTTTTTTACAATATTGTATACAAGAGTTTTATCAATTCTAATTAACACATATCCAAAAAAGTAACGGCATCATGCATGGCAAGAAAATTAGTGGTTAAAAAAGAGAGTAAAGGTTATAGACAATAAAAGATGATGAAATATTGGTGTATTAGCTAGATGATTCAATGATAGTTTTTGGTTTGTTTGTGCAAGTTAAACAAACAGCATCATACCATGTAAAACAATTTTTCATCTGCTTAGTATAATTCTATCAACTGTTGTTTATGATTTTGATGTATTATTAGTGGTTTGAAGATAGATTCTAACCAATCAATCAATTATTTTACAGAAAAATACGAGTAACTACTGTAATTTTTCAATATTTTCTCAAATACTGGAGTATATTTTATAATCATCATAGAAAGACCAAAATATTTAATATACAGTCTAAATAGAATCATGAATTAATGCATATGGTGATATGAAAGTGCATATTGATCATATTTTAAGGTACATAAAAGTATGACATACGTATATACAGATGTCATGATGGGGAAACTACAACAGTTTCGAAGACGATCTTTGTACCTTGCTTTAGCTATGAATATCTATAGCAATGGTATCATACATGTATACATAAATGGTTCATTTATACTTTATTAAATAGTTCGTTTCATTATATAAACTATATTAAATAGGAATTTAACAGCTAAAGAATTAAGGTTTCTGGAAAAAAATAAGATTAATCTAATAAACAATGATTAAGGTTAAGAAATCTACTTTGTCTTACTTTGTCAAATCTGTCGCAATAGGATCACAGAAAAGAGTGTTGGAGATGTTGCATTTGGTTGGTGAAAATGACTTTGGAACTAATATGAAAGGATTGGGTGCGTGCCAATGTACGCAATCACACGTGTGACTCATACATTTTTGATCCAAATACTTGTTCAATATCTTACGATGAATGCCATAAGCTTACATGCTCTGATCTCCAATTTGAGGAATGTATAGATTTGGGTACAAAATCTCTTAGTATTTTTTTTTTTTAAAGAAAATAATTAGCATTGTCCAATTTTAATATTGCAAAATCGGATAGACCTGAATGCTTTAGTTCATTGCAATAAACCGTACTTTTTTTTTGGACAACTGCGAATCTGCAATAAACCGTACTTTTGGATGATTTTTTTTGTTAAAAAAAAAAAGCTTCAATAATAATATAATATTGGGGGAAAATATTTGTTTGTTGCCGACACGGTAAAAGAAATAAAGAAGCGCTTTGGGTCAAATGGTTAAAACAGTTTATTTACTCTATCGGAATATGACTCCATCTCTTTGTTAAGAGTTCATAAAAACAGTAGAATCCATTGATAAAAAATAAAGATGAATATGTAATTGACACGTAGGTACGTATGCATAGATCACTCAGTTTATGTTTCTAGACAGTTCTGATCTCTGCGACTTTGTGGGTGACTTGCAATTTTGGGTTCTTGGTTTTGTTAGAAATGAGTCTTTTTAATATAAATTTAAAATTCTTTGTATTATCATATTACATAAATTTTCACAAGACGTGTGATTTTGTGACTCAGTTCTATGTTTAATCCGATCGGAAATGTCTTAGTATTTTATAAAACGAATGTGTCCTAAAATATGATATCGATGCTGGTAAATGATACTGTGAAAAGTTTTAGGACACACTCGTTTTGATTGAATGTCCCACCTATTACATCATATGATAGGATAAAACTTTTCAGCTCAAAATTAGAAACCAATACGCTGTCCCACACATTCAGGTATGGATTGGTGAAATTAATTTTGAGCTGCATTGGTTTCTAATTCTATGGAACCAAGTTTGCATATATTGGATTGATTTCAGTTTGGATTGAACAGCGTATGATCAACCTTTAATAACATGTTAGGAGTCATAGATTTCTATTATCTTAAAAATCGATTGCAATGAGAAGATTGATATCGATTTCTTTATATTTAAAAGCAATTGCTGCTCATTATTGAAAAGAGTATTAGTTGTAAACAAAAAAAAGTCTAAAGAGACTATATGCTTCCTTTTTTCATCCATTTTTGCCAAATTTTTTGATTGTTTTGATCCTATTTTTAACCTGATGAATCAATTTTTTGTAAAGAAAGTTTGTTGACTTTAATTCGAACGGATATTCAGTTAATCAAAATTCATAATTTACATTTAAATATTCTTTTAGAAAAAAAAAACCTTTACGTTCGTACTGTATATTGTATAATATCAGAAGAGTGATACTTTCTGCTCTATGACAAATTTCAGTTCAACCAAACGAGTTCGTAATTAATGCTTTAGAAACTTTTTTTTGGTCAAGTTTTAGCATTTTTCTTTTAATTCCGGTTTCTTTGACTTGTGTTTCGTACTACTTCTCAAAATAATACTCAAGCCAATGTTTTTCTAATCACGATCTGCCCACACGAAATGCATAGTATTTTTCTAATCAAGAACCAAAACCCATAAAAATCTTCGTTGCCTGGGACGGTAAGTCACTACATTCAGTTTTCTCCTTGGTTGAATCATTATTCACTAAGTAATACTACATATATTTACAAAACAATTAAAAATATTAGAATGTGGTTGCTAATTATTATGTGCGAAAATATGCGGTTCTTTCTCTCATGGTGAAATCAATATTTGAATTCACAATTTCTTCGTACAACTTGTGTTTCTTGTCTTCTTTGTTAATCATGGTCCCCATAATAAATGTGACATACACATGTCCCAAATGTTTTGTTTGCGTGTGATTAAGACTAACCCTAATGATAGAAAAACAAATCATAAAAGAATAAACCACAATTGCTCGTCGACAGTAAGCATACGTCCCTTTCAAAAAAAATATTCATATGTAAATTAAATATAACATGTAACAATATTAAAAATACAAAAATTGACAAACAAACTTGTGTTTAATTTGGTTCTTTCTCACGAAGCGTGTTATTCATATAAAGAAATTGGACTATATATGGCCATATGGGAGACCTCCGCATATAGGTCTCGAATGAGAATATATGTGATGAAGTCTCTTAAACTAAAAAAGGGACATTTCAACACCTTAGGAATCGATCGGGACATCCGCTCTAAACCCCACCACTTTCTTCTATTCCTCTACAATGCTCATGTGCAATTTATTAATTAAATAAGATTCAAGACTCTTAATCATCGCTTGTTCCCTTAATCAAAAGTTTAATTCAACTTCTTGCTTTAATCCCATTTTCAAGTCACCGCTTACGTAACTTACGAGTAATGCCATCGTCACTATATCATGCATGCATCATATATGCGCTTATATGTATGGACGTGGCAATATTGCGACTGAAGTCGCTTTTAACCCTTTATCAAATCTTTATATTATTAATTGAGAAGTACATGAAAAAAATTTATGACCAAAAAACTAATCTAATTATGAAGAGAAAGTGTTTGGTAACAGATTTAATTAAGGTCAATTTAGTACATTGTAATGTTTGAATACAAGAATAAGAGAAAAAACTACTTGGATAGAAGAATAAATGGAAAACATTGTTTGGATACAAGAATAACAACTTAAAACAAACCGATGGTTTAGAAAACTTCCGTTTTCCAGCACTTAAAAATCTGCAAAAAAAAACTTAACATAATCTAATGATAATATCAAATCAATAGAATATGTTTTTAGTTTTTGGGATATTTAGGTTTTTATAGATAAGTTCGAGTTTGGATGAAAATCTGAGACGTAATTTTATAGAAATATAGAAATTGTTCTGGTTTCTTAGAAAATTTATATTCGGGTTGGGTTCAAGTTTTTTTTTTCAGTTTAGGGTTTTCCGGATTTTTTGGATTTCAGGTTTTCGGGTTTAGATATATTAAAAAAGTTTGACTATTTTAACATAATCTAACGATAATAACAAATCAATAAAATATGCTTTTTGGATTTTCAGGTTTTTATAGGCAAGTTCGGGTTTGGGTGAAAATCTGAGACCTAATTCTATAGAGATATAGAGATATATAAATTGTTCGGGTTTCTTTGAAAATTTCTGTTCGGGTTGAGTTCGATTTTTTTCTTTTTTTTTCAATTTAGGGTATCCGGATGTTTTGGATTTCGGTTTTTCGGGTTTAGATATATTAAAAAAGTTAAAGTATTTTAATTTTTTGATTAGGGTATTTGGATCGGGTTACGGGTAAAAAAAATTCATATTTTTTTTTTCACTTCAGGCTTTTTGGGATTTGTTTGATTTCGGATTTTCGGGTTTAGTCATATTAAAAAAGTTTGAGTTTGTAAAATTTTTGATTAGGGTTTTTGTTCGGGTTCAGATTTAGAGTTTAAATTTTCTACACAAAACCATAAGGTCACACCGCACAAACGTGCGGGTACTCTACTAGTTACGTATTAATTAAGAGTATAGTTTTTCAATATCTATAGTCCTCTGAAAAGGTATTATAATTAATGGTTTTCTGTTTAATATACTAATTAATTCTTAAATTAATTTTAGTTTACATCTTAGTGTAATAATGTTAATTTACACATTATCTAATTGAAAACATGAGATATGTAACAAATTTGTGGTGGACCGGTAAATGATCATCATGTTGGTAAAAACCAATTACTGATCTCTTTTAGCGATGGTCGATTATATTCCATCGATACTATATAGTGGCAGAGCTCTTCTTACCAAACTCTACCTATGGGACAGAAGTAAAATCCATACAGGGAATCGAAATAAATTAGGTTTTTCAATCGGACCTACAAAAGGATATGTTTTCCAATTTGGTTAGATCTTCTGGTTCGGTCTTGAAT